AGAGGTAGGGTGGGGCGAGGCCATGGAGAACTTTGCATGTGAGTATCTGAGGACCAGGATCTTGAACTGGATCCTCTGAAGGATAGGGCCAATGGAGTCGGGCGAGAGTGGGGGAGATGGGGTCACAGAGTTTGGTGCGGGAAAGGACAAGGCTGCAGAGTTAGTTCTGGATTATCTGCAGTCTGTGGAGGGAGGAGTTGTGAAGGCCAACACACAGGGCATTTGCATTGTCGAGCCTGGAGGTGATGAAGGCATGAACAAGAGTTTCAGCGGCCTGAGGGGTGAGGTAGTGGCGGAGTCGGGCGATGTTACGGAGGTGAGGGAAGGCAGAGCCGGTCATGGCTTGGATGTGGGGGAGAAAAGACAGAATAACATTAAGATCCCCATTTATTTGACGACTCACAGCACTTGGGTGCAGGAAATCTGCAGGAACAGGAATCGAGCAGATATAGGATAAAGAAGTCATAGATTTAAATAGATGTGATTCCATAGCACAGAACCAGCTATAACTGACAGTCTGACTGGGAAATGGAACTTGGTACAAAACTCGGAGATCAGAACCAATGTAGACTTTAGTGAAAATAACCACACAAGGCCACTTGGCCCATTGTGTCTGTGCTGCCCTTTAAAAAAGCAATACATTCAGTCTCATTTACCTGCCTTTTCTGTATACCTTTGCAGATTCATCCTCTCTGGATTTCGCCTCTTGAAAGCTAAAATGGATCCTACCTCAGCCACTGCACCCTGGCAGCACATTCCACATCCTAACAAATCTCTGGTGGAAAAAATATCATCCTAACTTTTCCCTTTGCTCCCTTTCTGACAATCTTAACTAGATGCCATCTACTCAGCAATTCACCAACCAGTGGAAATAATTTCTTCCCATCTATTCTATAAAAAACAGTCATCATTTCAAAGGCCTCGATCAGGTCTCCCCTCAACTTTCTCCATTCCAGAGAAAATAGCCCTAGTTCCTCCAGTCTCTGCTCATAGATCAAACCCCTCATCCCTGGTATCATCCTCTTGAATGTGGCCCTCCTTACTGTCCTGACAACCTTCCTAAAGTACGGTGACCAGAACTGGACACAATGCTCTAACTGCGGTCTAATTAGCGATTTATATTGGTGAAGCATCATCTGTTTAGTTTTATACTCTATCTCCTAAAATCAAAGATCCCATTAACTTTCTTCACGTCAGGAGTTTGAGTTTGAGATAGGTTCAGACTGCATCAGAAAGATGGATACCCACAATGACAAATTACATTTACACAGCGCCTTTCACGTCGAGAGGACATCCTAAGACACTGGACAGTCAATGATTTGCACCTTGAGCTGGGGGTTGGGATCAGGAGGGATGGAGGGGAGGGAGGGTGGGGGTGGAAGGGTGAATGAAGGTGCCTTTATTTTGGTTTCCTTATTTTATTTTTAGCCCAAATACTTAATAATTCATCTTTCATACTTTGGCCTCAGTACCTGCTCCAAGCGAGGTAAAGCCATCAGGGGCCCATGCTACTAAATTAGTTTCTTACAGGTCATTTATTTAGTTGCAAATGTTTATTTTCTTGCAATATTATTATTTACCCCATCACCGTGACCATACTAACCATGACAGCAGCTCAAAAATATACCAGTCACACACCCTCACGAGAGCTGTCTCTGAAAACAAAAACTCTTTTTAAAAAATATATACTTTTGTAGAATGATGGAAAAGCACCTTAAGCAATAGGGCAAGCGTAACTTTCCTGTAGATTTCACCCACAAAATACAAAGTTACTACACTTTACAGTATGTACTGTGAAGCGCTTTGAGACGTCTCAATTACCTAATAAAGCACTGTATCAAATGCAAGGATTATTATTATTATTTGTCAGGGACGAAGCCTGTAATAAAGTGCTGAAATTTGTTTTCCTCTTGGACAGCAGAACACGTGTGCTGATTCTACACCTTCCGCAAAGGCTCAATGACTTGCTAACTGTGTCACATCCTCCCCAGAGAATGCAACCTTCTGTATCGTGCAATCCGCCAAACCAATGGAACGGTTGATTGCAACAGCGTTAAGAACTACCTCTGCTGTTACCCTTCCTCCTATCTCAACCTGACGTGTGGCTCAGCTCAGCGAATAACAGCCTAAGCCTGTAAAGTTCAAACAGCAGTTTGACAAACCCTTCACCATTGATTGCTGCATCTTGGGCGAGACTGCCATCAGCCAACATTCCCATAAAATGATGGCTAAGTGTCCGCTCTATTGCTGTATTTTCACCCTCTCCAGCAGTTGGGCACAGTCCCAGATACCCCTCAGGGTCTGGTCCAAGTAACAACAACTTGCATATATGTATAATGCCCTTCACCCGGGGTAGCGTCTCAGAGTGCTCAACAGTGGAGGAGCCTGATGCCGAGCCGGGGAGAGAGGTGACTGTATGAGCTCGAATCAGAAGGTGTGATCTGAAGACAGACTAGGAGGGGCACGGCGGAGGGATTGAGGGAGAGAGTTCCTGAGACTCGGGGGCGTAGTGGCTGAAAGCACAGCCCCCAATGGTGGGGCGGAGGGGATGAAGGGACGGGCTCGAAGCTGGAGCCAACTGAACAAAGTGGGAGGGTAGAATCTGAGGGTTAGGCCGGGGAGATTAAGTAGGTCAGGGCCGCAGGTGAGAAGATATTGACAGGAGCCAAGGAGAATGGTCCATGAGGCGGGGGAGGAGCATCAGAACCCTCTCTCCCTGGAGGAATGCGCGCTGCTTATCTAATTCCGGAAAGTGTTAGGCGCAGGTTGGTAAGAGCCATGGCTTAGGGACCCCAGAGTGTGCATCGGGGTAACTGCTGGAGTCTTAACCACCTAAAACCGCATCGCTCGCCATTGATATTGCAAGCCTTCCTGCTGCAGTTCCTGCTAGGACCAACAACAACAGCTTGCATTTATATATCGCCCTCGTGCAGGGTAGCTTCCCAGAGCACCTGACCGCGGCAGAGCACGATGCCGAGTTGGGGGGAAGGGGAGGTGACCATAGACACGGTCAAGTAGGAAGGTCTTCAGGCACGAACTGAAGATGGGGAAGGAAGGGGCGAAGCGGAGGGACAGAGGGAGAGATTTCCAGAGTTTCGGGGCACATTGGCTGAAAGCGCAGCCACCACCCTACCTGTTAGGGCTTTGGCTCGCAGGAATAACAGGAGCTGAGTGGGATGAAAGTGAGTGGGATCAATAATTAGTAAATCCTGAATAATTCCTGATTGCTCAGTGAGTTTCTCTGAGCAGCACAGCACCAGGGGATGTTACTTTGACAGGAAATGCTTAGCCACAGCAAAAAAAAGATGATCGCACTGAGCTCTGTCACACCTTCTCGCTCTCGCTGTATGTTAGCCATTGTCCAGCGCCCTGTAATAAATAACGCTATTAACACTCTAGAAACTAAAAAAAAATCCTTGCATTCGATATAGCGCTTTTCACGTCGGGAGGACGTCCCAAAGCGCTTCACAGAACACCCTGTAAAGTGAATTGACTGTATATTTGTGGGCGAACGCGGCAGCCAATTGCGCACAGCAATGTCCCTCAACCAGTCGTAGACTGAAAATGACCAATTTATTATTGTTTGGGGTTTTTTGGAGGGATTATTATTAAACACAGAAACAGGAGAGGCCATTCAGCCTCTCGAACGGTTCCACCGTTCTATAAGATTGCCGCTGATCTGTGCCTCAACTCCAACGTAGCTTATTGTGCAATGACAGGTCCGGGTAAAATCTAACCCTCCAAAACACCTCCTTTAGCCATTATTAATGCGCAATAAAGATAGTGGGTTTAGAGTTCGCCCCATCGGCTCCCCCCTCCAACACATACAGCCATAATGCTCAGCACTCTCTAACCACTATGTCTGGGCGCTGCTGTGTGCATTTCCTGTGTATGTTGCGGTCTCCCTTTGCACAGAAAATAAATGTCAAGAGCACCGGCAGAAGGAACTTTCCATTCTTGTTTTTTTTTTGAGAGAGAGAAATCCAGGCGACAAGAAACTTGGGTTCTTTTACACACAGATTTGACATTGCTGTGCGTGTGTGTGTTGTAGAGTAACAGAGAGTGAGGGAGTCGAGGATGGCAATGCCGCACCCCTCGCCCTGGGTGGCTTTACACCAACACACACTCACACACAGACACTCAGACTCAACACCAGGAACAATAAGTTAGTAAAGTCCCAGAGACAAGTGCATTGGGCAAAAAGCTCTTTAGACCTATTATTTCCCCCCAAAGCCCAACCCCAACCCCATCACACACCGCTTGTCACAGTCTGAGAACCTGACCGTGAACCACTGACTGACTGACTTCCTGTCACTTTTCAAAAGTATTTGACAAAACAGCACATTTTCTTTTAAAAGGACAATAAAATGTCACAAAGAGCCCAAGTTCTCACGATTGGAATCAACCCCTTCTCCACCCAAATACAGCACAACCACAAACACACACCGTGACACACACACAGTGACACACACACACACAGTGACACACACACACACACACACAGTGACACACACACAGTGACACCACACACACACACACAGTGACACACACACACACACACAGTGACACACACACACACACACAGTGACACACACACACAGTGACACACACACACACACACAGTGAACACACACACAGTGACACACACACACACAGTGACACACACACACACACACAGTGATACACACACACACACAGTGACACACACACACACACACAGTGACACACACACACACAGTGACACACACACACACACAGTGACACACACACACAGTGACACACACACACACACACACACAGTGACACACACACACACACACACAGTGACACACACACACACACACACAGTGACACACACACAGTGACACACACACACACACACAGTGACACACACACACAGTGACACACAGTGGGGGGGGGGGGGGCACAGGCTATGAGCCGCACACAGTGTGTCTGTCTCCCGCGGAGCTGTTGAGGCGGTGTCGCAGTGACTGTTTTACCTTCAGTTGAGATTTGGAGACTTTACCGCTTTTCTCCACATCCAAAGCAGTGAAGGCGAACCATATAGACTTCAGCAGCTCTGCCCTCAGCTCCATCCTCAGCTCAGCTCAGCCCCGACTGCCTGTCTGTCTGTCTGTGTGTGTGTCTGTCTGTGTGTGTGTGTCTGTGTGTGTGTCTGTGTCTGTGTGTGTCTGTGTGTCTGTCTGTGTGTGTCTGTCTGTGTGTCTGTGTCTGTCTGTGTCTGTGTGTGTGTCTGTCTGTGTGTCTGTCTGTGTGTGTGTGTGTCTGTCTGTGTGTGTCTGTCTGTGTCTGTGTGTGTGTGTCTGTGTCTGTCTGTCTGTGTGTGTGTGTGTGTCGGTGTGTCTGTGTCCCTGTCTGTCTGTGTCTGTCTGTGTCTGTGTCTGTGTGTGTGTGTGTCTGTGTCCCTGTCTGTCTGTGTCTGTGTCTGTGTGTGTGTCTGTCTGTCTGTGTGTGTGTGTGTGTGTGTCTGTGTCCCTGTCTGTGTCTGTGTGTGTGTGTCTGTCTGTCTGTGTGTCACTGCCTCTCACTCTCTCGCAGCCGCGTGTCTGCGCAACGCCTTCGCCTGACGTGGCCGTCACACACACACACAGCAGTGCCTGAGGAGCCAACGGGGCTGGAACTGGGGCAGAGCAGAGCCCAACACGGCAGGGAGGCAGGGGGGGAGGGAGGGGAGGGCAGGGCAGGGGGGGCAGGGAGGGAGGGGCAGCGCAGGGCAGGGCAGGGGGGGCAGGGGAGGGGAGCAGGGGAGGGGAGGGGAGCAGGGAGGGGGGGCAGGGAGGGGCAGGGCAGGGGGGCAGGGCAGGTCAGGGCAGGGGGGCAGGACAGGGAGGGCAGGGGAGGGAGGGCAGGGCAGGGGAGGGAGGGCAGGGAGGAGAGGGAGGGCAGGGCAGGGAGGGGCAGGGCAGGGGAGGGAGGGCAGGGAGGAGAGGGAGGGCAGGGCAGGGAGGGGCAGGGCAGGGAGGGCAGGGGAGGGCAGGGCAGAGCAGAGCCCAGCACGGCAGGGAGGGGAGGGCAGGAAGCAGGGCGGGAGGGAGGGCAGGGCAGGGAGGGCACGGGAGGGCAGGGAGGGCAGGGCTAGAGCTGGGCAGGGAGGGCAGAGCAGGGAGGGCAGGGCAGAGCAGGGAGGGCAGAGCAGGGCAGGGCAGGGAGGGAGGGGAGGGCAGAGCAGGGCTGGAGCTGGGCAAGGCTGGGCAGGGCTGGAGCTGGGCAGGGCAGAGCTGGGCAAGGCTGGGCAGGGCTGGAGCTGGGCAGGGCAGAGCTGGGCAGGAGCTGGGCAAGGCTGGAGCTGGGCAGGGCAAGGCTGGGCAGGGCTGGAGCTGGGCAGGGCTGGAGCTGGGCAAGGCTGGAGCTGGGCAGGGCAAGGCTGGGCAGGGCTGGAGCTGGGCAGGGCTGGAGCTGGGCAGGGCAGGGCTGGGCAGGGCTGGAGCTGGGCAGGGCAGGGCTGGGCAAGGCTGGAGCTGGGCAAGGCTGGAGCTGGGCAGGGCAGGGCTGGGCAAGGCTGGAGCTGGGCATGGCAAGGCTGGGCAGGGCTGGAGCTGGGCAGGGCTGGAGCTGGGCAGGGCTGGAGCTGGGCAAGGCTGGAGCTGGGCAGGGCTGGAGCTGGGCAGGGCTGGAGCTGGGCAGGGCTGGAGCTGGGCAAGGCTGGAGCTGGGCAGGGCAAGGCTGGGCAGGGCTGGAGCTGGGCAGGGCAGGGCTGGGCAAGGCTGGAGCTGGGCAAGGCTGGAGCTGGGCAGGGCAAGGCTGGGCAGGGCTGGAGCTGGGCAGGGCTGGAGCTGGGCAAGGCTGGAGCTGGGCAGGGCAAGGCTGGGCAGGGCTGGAGCTGGGCAGGGCTGGAGCTGGGCAAGGCTGGAGCTGGGCAGGGCTGGAGCTGGGCAGGGCTGGGCAGGGCTGGAGCTGGGCAGGGCAAGGCTGGGCAGGGCTGGAGCTGGGCAGGACTGGGCAGGGCAAGGCTGGGCAGGGCTGGAGCTGGGCAGGGCTGGGCAGGGCTGGAGCTGGGCAGGGCAAGGCTGGGCAGGGCAAGGCTGGGCAGGGCTGGAGAAGGAATTCTCCAGATAAGTTAGTCACTGGTTTATGGCTGTCTGGGTTACCGCTGTGTGCGAATTCTGCCACTTTGACCTACAAATACAGTTACTACAGTCAACAGCTGTTCCCCACATTTCAAAGTGAGAGGCGCTGCGTCAAATTCAGGGAATATACCTCTCCTTTAAGTCCCCCCAAACCCCGTAATCATCCCAACACCGACCTGGATACACTGGTTTTGACAACCGGACGGCACTGTGTAGTATATCATTAGCTTAAAATTAATAACAATGTGGATTATCTGTTGGAACTTGGTATTGTTTGAACAGAAACGGGGACGTAACGGATACAGTAAGACAGAAATTGTGAGGATAACTCAGAAAGACTTGGGCCTAGTGTTATAAACCTAGTGTGCTAGTTATATAATAATAATAATCCTTGCATTTGATATAGCACCTTATCACATCTTCGAGACGTCTCAAAACGCTTCACGGAACAGACTGTAAAGTGAATTGACTGTATATTTTGTGGGCGAAATGCGGCAGCCAACTGCGCACAGCAGCGTCCCACAAACAGTCGTGGATTAAAGTGACCATATTATTATTTTTTTAAGGATTATTATCCCTGGAAAAGCAATCCGCCAATTGACTAACAACCGGAAGCTGCTGGGGAAGAGGGTGAGAGGGAGAATGAGAAGAAAAGATCAGCTTCCAGCTCCAACATCCATACAATCCATCCTCAAAACAATAGCCAAGGAGTATAAACTTAAATATCAGGCCTTCGAGGAGGCCAACAACACACAACTTGCATTTATACGTGATTAATGTCACAGAGCGTTTATAGGGTGGGCAGTGTCGTACTTGGAGTGAGGGAGGAAGAGGAGAGGAGGACACTGCTTTGCGCAATTGGTTGCCATGTTTCTCCCACAAAATATGCAGTCAATTCACTTTACAATGCTTTGAGACTTCTCAATGACGTGATAAGGCGCTATATCGAAAGCAAGGATTATTATTATTATTATTATTATTATTATTATTATGTGGGTTAAGGCAACATTTCACAATGACACTGCAATGTAAATGTGCCGCACTCAAAATTATAATCCCATTTCATTTTAAAATTTGGGTTCAGGAATCTTACTCCTGTCTCAAAAGTATAATAATGATGTTTATACCAAATTACATGCTGGGATGGGTGGATGGTGTGGCAGCTATTGCAGATATACAACCACTTGTACGACACCCAGTGGTGTATCAGCGGAATTGTACACTCAGCAATATAATAATATAATAATCCTCGCATTTGATGTAGCGCTTTTCACGTCTTCTCGACGTCTCAAAGCGCTTCACAGAATATACTGTAAAGTGAATTGACTGTATATTTGTGGGCGAACGCGGCAGCCAATTGCGCACAGCAATGTCCCACAAACAGTCGTGGATTGAAAATGACCAATTTATTATTGTTTTTGTTTTTTGGAGGGATTATTATTAGGCTCTGTGTGGAGTAAGGAAACTTGCCCAAGGTTTCGCCCCCTGCCTGGAATTGAACTCAGGTATCTCGCTTGCAAGACATGTGCTCTAACCACTGAGCTACAGGACATCACTGAAGAGGCTATGCAAAATCTCACGGCAGAATCAGCCCAAGTATTAAAGTGGGATAAACTTAGTAAAATGAATTACTTAGTTAGCGGCTCGGAGACCACACCACCACCGCTTTATGGTGACTTTGGTTCGAGTTGGAGCGTGAGTACTTATCAACCTATATATTGTCAATAAGAGTCACAGGGAATTATCTGTTCACACGATTGCAAGAGGTTTGGATGCAGAAGATTCTTCAGCCCATTTGATCTCATCCTTCCAGAATCACCACCCCACCATCCATTGAACAAGTAGTGTCCTGGCCTCACCCATCCTGGTAACCTGCTCTAGGCATTAACTACCCTCTAGATACTCGAGAGCCTTGTGAGACCCATGGCCAGTTAGTGTCCTTTCACTAAACTCTCAGTAACCCACTTACCATCTCTGATCCGTAGTCCAGTTCAGCTTTCTTCTCGATTTCTGTAATCTCATGTAACAATGTCTCTAACAATGTCCACACGACAAGGGTTGGCTTGCCTCAGTGTCTACACTAAAAGGGTTAATTAACCTCGATAGTTTGTACTCCCTTTGATATCTTAGTTTTGTACATATAGAGTGTTGGAAGTGTTCTTGTCTTAAAGCCAGAAGGTTGAAGTCCTACATCAGCCCTAATTGAGCTCATGCCACTATTGGAAAACTGTGTCCTGGCCAAGTCCTCCCATTGGCCATATTAATTGTTTATGGTGGAGCCACATTTACCTACAGTCACCACACTTAAGAGCAATTCCTGTGAAGCACTGAGACATTTTGACGTAATACAGGCTATAACAAATACAATACTTATTTTATATAAGGATTGTTATTATACGTACTTTATACATTTGGTCTTTTCATTTTCCTCCCTCTTTGGTCCCTACTTCTCCAGAATGCAGTGACTGATGTTGGGGTAAACTTCCCTACTTGGATTTTTCTCAGCGCCTTGGGACGTCCTCCCGACGTGAAAGGCACTATACAAATGTAATTTTGTTGTTGTTGGACTGAATTGCACCCAGTTTGAAAGGTATAAACTCTGATCATGACTTGATTTTTAAGATCGGCTCTGCTGCTGCTGAGGTGAGTTAGTGAATTTCATAGAAAAATCCTCAGAAAGGAAAGCCCTTTGGATTAATAATAATAATCCTTGCATTTGATATAGTGTCTTATCACATCTTCTAGACGTCTCAAAGCGTTTCATCAAATATACTGTAAAGTGAATTGACTGTATATTTTTGTGGGCGAAACACGGCAGCCAATTGCCCCGCAAACAGTTGTGAATTGAGTGACCAACTTTTTTTCAAAAGGAATTCCAATCAACTAACAACCGGGTTCGTACTTACTGGTAGGTAAACAGAGGCATGTAGAGAAGGAAACTTGCCCAACGTTTCACCCTGGCGGAAATCAAACTCAGGTCTCTCGGTTGCAAGGCAAGTGCTCTAACCACTGAGCTACAGGACTCCACGATGATCAGCAAGAATCATTAACGGAATTCAACTGCTTGTAAATGAATTCCAATACATAGCACATTCAAACGTATATATCTGCCATGGCTTTAAAAGTTACAAAGAATTATGATAATTTCTGCCCATCTCCTTATCGATTCCTGATCACGGTATTAGAGGGATTAACTTGGAACAGGTATTGAGCTGAATTAACACACAGTCATTAGCTCAGCATTTCTATTAAGATAATTGCACCAAGAAGGAAGGATTACAAATCATTATAATCATAGCTAGATAAATCCCCACTATCCCTATTTGTGTCTCATTCCTCATAACACCGTGTCAGTGGCTTGTCTGAGAACAACAACAACAACAACAACAAGATTCCATTTATAAAGCGCCTTTCACGTCAGGAGGACGTCCCAAGGCGCTGCACAGTTGGGTCATGACCCGAGCAGGGGGGAAATGGTCAGGGTGAGGGGAGGGAAGGGAGGGAGCGAGGAGGGGGGAAATGGTCAGGGTGAGGCGAGGGAAGGGAGGGAGCGAGGAGGGGGGAAATGGTGAGGGGAGGGAAGGGAGGGAGCGAGGAGGGGGTAGAGAGTCGAGAGGGGAGCTGAAGGCTGAAGGTCAAAGAGAAAGGTTTTGAGACCGGCCTTGAAGGAGGAAAGGGAGGAAGCAAGGCGAAGGCACTGGGGGATAGAGTTCCAGAGCCTCGGGCTGAGAGGCTGAAGGCCCGGCCACCGATGGTAGGGCGGTTGGGGCGGGGGACGTGGAGCAGACCGGAGCCAGAGGAACGGAGGGTACGGGCAGGTAGGTAGGGGGATAGTAGGTTGGAGAGGTAGGAGGGAGCAAGGCCGTGAATGGCCTTGTAGGTGAGGATGAGGATCTTGAAATCAAGAAGGAAGGATCGAGAAGGAAGAGACAGGCCGAAGAGATAGTTATCACCAACATTAAAGATACAACAGAAAGAACGAAGTTTCAGGAAGAGAAAAACCTTGGTGACAGAATCTCCACAAGAGTTATTTCACAACAGAGATCTATCTGTCTGCAACAGATAACACAGAGATGCACAAACTATAGTCATCTCCAGTTCTTTCCTCATTCCTCCCAACCCCATACATTGAGACAAGATCGAGTTCCCCAGTGCCTAATGGCACCAGATCTGTGTTTGATGCAATACATAATAATCCTTATCAAAGAATATACTTTGAAGTGATTTGACTGTATATTTTGTGGGTGAAATGCAGCAAACAATTGCACACTGCAGTGTCCCCCAAACAGTCGCGGATTGAATGACTGGATTTTCACACTCCATATACTGTTCTACTGTTGCCAGTCAAACTTCCAAACATGCTCAGTGATTTTGTACTTTATTTTAAAATCTCTTCAGCTTTCCTCTTTCCTCCTTTAAAAACCTCTAAAATGCATCTCTTTGACTGTACCTTTGGTCAACATCCTTAAATTACCCCTAACAATGCTCACCTTTCTCATCATCCATCAAGCATTTCAAGACGTTTATTCTAGCTGAAAGTTGCTAACAAATTCATGTTAAAAATTCTACTAGGTACGCAGTGAACCACACACTGCTTGATCTCGATAGACTTGTAGGGCAGACCAGTCACTGGGGACAAGGACTCTTCCCACTCAGTTCCTGTTAACCCAGCTCTAACGGGTAGGGTGGTCCTAGCTGGACAAGCAGCAGGAAAGCTTGCCAGCCAGCGATATCATTGGCAAGCTCTGCAGTTTTAGCTGGTTAGACACCAACAGTTTCCCCAACGCACACTCTGAGGTCCCCAAGCCTTGGCTCTTGCCAACCTTCACCCAATACTCCGAGTTTCACCTGCCAACCTTCATCTAATTTTTACCAAAATCTGGCTCCGGAATTAGGTGAACAGGACCTGTCTCTCCAGACAGTGAGTGCACATTCCACCCCAACAAATTACCTACGGGTGGGATACATGGAACTGTGAGTTGGTTTTTTTTAGCATGGTGATGGGTTTCCCCATATATCAAACATCCGGCTGACCCCCAAAAAATCCATTGTGTTCCATGCAGCTCAGGGATGCTCTCAGAAGTCCTTGCATTCTCGATGAGCAGGAAGCTGGGCATCTTCCATTGCCTGTGGCTGGAAAATTCCTGAAAAGTTTGCGAACAATATTCAATAGCTGTTAACTAATAATGTCTGATGTAACTATGCAAAAATATCATTGCATTTCACTGTTTTCATTAAATAATAATTTGGTCACACAATCAACGACTGTTTGCAAGACACTGCTGTGTACAATTGGCTTCCGAATTTCACCCACAAAATAAACAGTCAATTCCCTTTCCAGTATATTCTGTGAAGGGCTTTGACACGTCTAGAAGATGTGACAAGGCTCAATCAGCGCAGTATAAATGCACATTGCTTTCAGATCAAAAAATCCAAGGATTAATATTATTATTATAAATACTTATCCTGATTTTTTTCCTCAATACTGGTAAACTGACCTGTACCTTATATTTCTTTTGTGTTCCTGCATGGATACTGCACTGCTCTTTCTCTCTCTCGTTCGGGGCTCATTTCTCCAATGTATACAGGGCACCATTTTCGTTTATCTCATCATAATAATCCTTGCATTTGATATAGTGCCTTATCATTTCTTCGAGACGTCTTAAAAGCTCTTCACTGTAAAGTGAATTGGCAATATATTATTTTTTTCTTATGTTGCCTTTAAGGCTGAATCAATCCAGTTTATGTGCATATTGCTTTCAGATCAAAAAATAATTTTCACATTGGATCAGCCTATATTAATCAATCACTAATCTCATAAAAGTTTTATGTGTAACGAATACATAGCTTATATACATATATATACATACACACACCATATGGGATTTGTGAGTGAGGAATAATCTAGAAGCACAAGAACCAATACCTCCTCTTGTGTTGTGCGCAAGTACTGTGAAGGACTTTGGGACGTCTTCCAGATGTGAAAAGTGCTAATTAATTGTAAATTTGTATTGCATGGTACCGTAACACACGTACAGTGGAATGTGACCTCAGTTTTGAGGCTACTCACTGGTCAAGTCATTGGTTTCTCTCCCCTGTCAAACTGACCAAAACCCTAACTCAGCTCATGAGTAAAGGTCTGACTGTCCTCAAAACCACAGCGAGTATCCACTGCATTTGATGTTGTGCAAAGCACAGTACTCACAGTGCCGGCTCGTAGCCCTTTCACTTAGTTGGTGTCTTATCCGCTGTGTCGAAATACATTCAGTACTGTGTGAAAAATCCAAACTTTGATCTGACATATTTTTAATTTAGCAGCTAACGTCCTCACAGGTATATAGTAATGTTTAATAGATAAATACCTCCTTCCCCCCCCACCCCAGCATGAAATCACCAACCTGTGCTTTCTGTATAGCTTACAAAAAAAGTCAGAAACCTTCAGATAGGTCAAGAATAGTGTGTGGTTTTTCAGATTTATTATAATATACAGTTTCATATAGCATCAAATGCTGGTCTTTAAATACAGCACGTACATATGCAAATCTGTCACTGATTGACATTAAACGCCCAGCCCGTTCCTTCCTCCAGCTCGGCACAGAACCCAACCCCACACCACTTTTAGTAAACATTTCATCTTAAAAAAAAGCAACACTATGGGAAATTTCAATAAAACTATAATCTCATACTGTACAAGGGGATCCACGCGTCTATAGATCAGCACAGCAGCACTAAAACTCTCTGTCTTGGACAAAATCCTTACCATTTATTTAAAATAACCTGAGTTGAGATAACATACACACAGTAAATTGTTAGTCCTGAGAATAGACTGATTTAGTCTGTGAGTAGTTTCGGTTTGGTTCCCAGGATTTTATTGGACAGTTCTAGGCTCTTTCTCTATGTTTCCCTCGTTTCCTGGTCCCCGATCTCACTGGCCACTGTCCGCCATGACCATTTCCTGTGTCAGCTCTTCATGCTGGATTGCTGCTGCCGCCATGCCGATGGCCTCCTCCAATGTCTGCTGTTCCTCCAACTAAACAGACAAATACCAACACCAATGGACGTTACACAGAGAGGGCTCATAGTCAGGGATTTAAGCAGTGAACTGACTTCCCAAGCTAAATAATCCCTTCAATGCGAGAGTATGTCGCTATTGTAATAAGTAAAACAACATTTCTCATGATAAGGCTCGAGTGATGCTTCTGCCCCATCTCCTCTGGTTTCAAGCTAAAACCACATGGAATTTACTGAGCTGCTGGCACCAACATGGCAACTATCCAGTAGCTGAACTAAAATCAGGAGCCAGTGCTGGAATCCCACCCCATGGCCAGTGCGGGAATCCCACCCCATGGCCAGTGCGGGAATCCCACCCCATGGCCAGTGCGGGAATCCCACCCCATGGCCAGTGCGGGAATCCCACCCCTTGGCCAGTGCGGGAATCCCACCCCTTGGCCAGTGCGGGAATCCCACCCCTTGGCCAGTGCGGGAATCCCACCCCTTGGCCAGTGCGGGAATCCCACCCCTTGGCCAGTGCGGGAATCACACGCCATGGCCTGCGCGGGAATCACACGCCATGGCCTGCGCGGGAATCACACGCCATGGCCAGTGCGGCAATCACACGCCATGGCCAGTGCGGGAATCACACGCCATGGCCAGTGCGGCAATCACATGCCACGGCCAGTGCGGGAATCACACCCCATAGCCAGTGCAGCAATCACACGCCATGGCCAGTGCGGGAATCACACGCCATAGCCAGTGCGGGAATCACACCCCATAGCCAGTGCGGGAATCACACCCCATAGCCAGTGCGGGAATCACATGCCATGGCCAGTGTGGCAATCACACCCCATAGCTGTGTGCAGGTGTTTCAGTCATTAAAATAAACATTCTCACTGACCAAACAGTCTGTTGATTGCCCCACTAACTTCACGTTCACAAAGTATCACAGCCTTAAAGATACAGAAACATTTGTCCAGTCCAAGCTGGACCTGCACTGCGTCACACACCTGTACTGCTATCTGTGTCCCATTAGCGGTGGCTACCAATGCCACTTGCTGATGGTGCTGCACAACCTCTGCTGCGTGAAGAGCGGCTAAGGCTGAATCTCCGGTCACCATCCCATCAGACGTCACAATCGCAACCTGGACAAACACGGGTTCACAAACATCAAGGCTCTTAAACGTCACCCAATCATACAATAGAAACAGCCTGGAGTAAAGCGATACTCATTCTTTTCAAAAAATCAACCTAGCAATTTGTAGGAAAAGTACGTTCCCAATCTCCTGCTCCTCACTTGCACACGACACACCTCAGTTAGGAGAGTTCTACTCCATGGGTTATGGCGACAGATAGCATCAAGGTTATTCCTTGTGTGCACAGCAGCTCCATCTCAATGTCTTGTGCATTATGCTGACTCATGGTGACCCAACACTGAGTGGTAGACCTCACTGGGCCTGTAGTTCCCCACATTACTTCTCTGTTTCTGTCACATTATTAGGAAAACACAGCAAAAGTAGGTCAAGCACTTCTTCAGCGACTCAGGTGTTTTTTAAAGTGAGTTTTCCTTTCAATCAAACTGATTGGGAACTTCATGAACGCACTGCTGGGGTTCAGCACACTGAGAGAGAGGTACTACACTGCAATGCCAGGCTTCCCATGTGAGCCCTGTCACTGAGTGTTGGCGGGCTATTTCATCATGACTCGTGTGGTAATCTAACTCCATCCTATTCTACCCAAATGTTCAACGGAAGTTGCTGTATGGTAATCAGAAACAGCAGCTCTGGCCAATTATGCTCTCCCTAAAACAGGATACTTTAAATAGCGTTTTACCTCAAAGAGCTAACTGGCTGAAAGCAAATAATTCAGCGCTGATTAAGGATGGAACCCAGACCTTGCTGGTGTTTGGTTTAGCTCCTCACTGGCTAACACTGATGATCCATCAGTGGATTGATCCATTTTTTTTAATGAAAGTATTACAAATCATCACAATAGAGAGTTTGAATACTTCAGTTTACACTCTCTATTAATCTTTGTAATTATGGGGGCATCGGCATACCTGTTGTGCTTCTGTGCCATCTGACGTAACCATGGTAACTGTGTGAGCGCCCGAAGACCCTGTGACTTCATGTGTTGGTACGGCAATCGTGGTGCCGTCTTGAGTGACCATAGTGATAGCTGTCCCCAGGGCCTGGAGGTCGGCCTGCGACAGGTTTACCTGCGACGAATACAATACAATACAAAACAAAATTACATTTACACAGCGCCTTTCATGTCGGGAGGATGTTCCAAGGCGCTGGACAGTCGGGGATTTAGACCCGAGCTGGGGGGGGTTGGAGGGCAGGCGCAAGTTGGCCAAAGGTGCGGCGGAAGTGGAAGGTCTTGAGATGTGCCTTGAAGAAGACAATGGAGGGAGCGAAGCAAAGGGACTGTGGGATAGTTTCAAAGGGTGAGTAATGACGTTAGTTTCTGGTAAATAACACATTTCCAATTTACAAAATCTTCGTCAATACCGAAGCTGCCCAGGTATGTGAAGTGTTAAGAGTGAACCAGTTGGTATCTCTTTATTGAGCTGGAGTATTTGGTTGGTGATCACTGGGGATCTGGGATTATCTGTACAGTAATTTCCCCAGGAGATGAGAGTGGATGGGGTATGAAAGGGGCAGGCTTGATCCTCTGAATACTTTTCTCATTCCAATTTCCACTATGTTGGCAATTAGAATCTTCCTTTGTTCGTTTATATATGCATTTATATAATGCTCTTCTCACAGAGTAGCGTCCCTTGACACTGGCAGAGTACGACGCTGAGCCAGGGGGAGGTGGCCATAGACCCGGTTGAAGAGGAAGTGAAAGTACACAGTTTGTGCGACTTAAAAATGGGGAAAGAGGGGGCAAGGTGGAGGGATAGAGGAAGATTGTTCCAGAGTTTCGAGGCATAATGGCTGAAAGTGCAGCCATCGATGGTGGAAAGGAGGGCACAAGGGACAAACAGGAGGCCGGGGCCAGTCGAGCGGAGGCAGCGGGTAGTGGGATGGGAAGTAAGCAGGTTGAAGAGGTAGGGAGGTGCCAAGGCAGGAAGGGATTAGCTTGTTTCTTTATCCATTTGTCAGACATTGCCATTGTGAATTCAGTTACCTCAGCTGTATTTAACGATACACAGTGGCTTTAAACAGTACTACCTGCTACTTTCCCCACTCCCCCCTAGCTCTTCCCCCCACCTCAGGTTGCCAGCCAGCAGTATCAAGTACTTTGAGACATCCTCCTGACCTTAAAGGCTCTATATAATTGTAAATTGTATATTGTATTATAGCACGCATCTGAACTTTGATGAGACATTGGGTAAATGTGGGTTGTGATCTGATTGATGGTTTAAAATAAATTTGACAAACTGGATTCCCTCTGATGAAAGGACCCACATCAAAGTGAGGCGCAGATTCTTAAAATTAGGCTAAATACAACCGAGATCAGAAAACATTCTAATCTTCTCGCTGTATCCTTCTATCCCACAGAGATAAGTAAATGCAGGAAATTCATATAGAAAGCAAAGAACAAGCGTAACACGTTGGCTGAGATTTTATTCATTACCTGTTGACTTCCATCCTGTGATATAAGCGCTACTTGAGATCCAATTCCATCTTGAGTTACCATAGTAACCTGAGTAGGAATTCCATCATCACCTTCTACCCCTGACAGGTACGTAATGCGTGGTCGATTCACTGGGGGTTCCATAATTGCAGCTATAATCAATGGAGTACAGAGGGGGCGGGAAGGGTGGTGGGCGCGGGGGGGGTTGAGAAAGAGACTTAAGTCAGCCACCAACACAAACAGTACAGCATCACTCCTTTCAAGAAATGTAAACGCAAGACTGAAGGTAAAACTGGTGATGAGAAGATGCTAAACAGATCAAACTGTGAACTTCCACTGACGAAATAAAAGTCATTACACTTTACAGTACATTTCGTGAAGAGCTTTGAGATGTCTTCCCAACGTGAAAGGCACTATCATATGCAAAAATTCTTAGTATTAATAATAACTCACAACAACAAATTGTATCCAAATCTATACTTGGATCTAATAAATCCCAGCACAAGATTTTGAAAGTTTATACTTATTTAAATGCATATACTGTAATAAGAACATAAGAACATAAAAATTAGGAGCAGGAGTAGGAGCCTGCCCCGCCATTCGATAAGATCATGGCTGATCTTCAGACCTAACGCTAATTACCTGCCCTATCTCCATATCCCCTAATCCCTCTGTTTTTTAAAAATCTATTTTTTAAAAAAAATCTATCAGTCTCAGCCTTGTGAGGTTGTGAGTGAGCAGCTGTTAAACCGTGCAAAACACACGAGGATACAGGAAGAAAAACCAATGTGACTTCCTGGCTCAGCTGCTGTTGTAGGTTTGGAGCTCGCGTGCTCAGATTGTTGACAGAAACACTAACACTACAGTAACCCACCCACCCCGGCCCGCTGGGTATCCGCAATTCAAACCTAGCTGGACCAGGCCCGAAATCAAAACATTAAAAAACATTTCCACGGCCCGTGTGGGTGAACACTCCCACTGGCTCACCTCTCCCAGCCTCACCATCTTCGGTGCTGGCCAGGGATATCCACTTTGACTCAGATCCACCCCCGTTAGTCCAGCTAGTCAGGGTTTTAGTGTAATAAACTCACTCAACGGCAGCAGTCACTTATTACAGTAACATGACACAGCAGACAGCGTAGTCAGTGTGGTTCAGGTACCTACTTTGTTGCTGGTCAAACAAGGCCTGCTCACTTTCTTCTGTTGCGTCCATCTCACCGTGGGCGGTGCGCTTGTGCATAGCTAGCGTGGATGTTTGCCTGTACGTCTTTCCACAGTGGTTACAGTTATATGGCTTGAAATGTGTGTGGACCACATTGTGCTTATACAAACTGGAATATTCTGTGAAGCGTTTCCCACAGCCTGGCACTGTACACACATAGGGTTTCTCTCCTGCGTCAAAGAAAAGTACATCAGTCAGAGGCTAAACAACAGGGCACAAGTTCACCACAAAAAACTAGCTCTCATCTCTGTAAAAATGACCACATTTATTGCCTGCAGTTCAAAATGCATCAAGAAGTAGGAAATTCAACTGGTTATAATCATTTAACGTACTTGAAGCTGCTGAATAAAATCATAACTACTGTCATTTTAAATGTAAACAAGTAAGTAGGCCTGGCTTTGTGGATAGCACTCTCGCCTCTGAGTCAAGATTTTGTTGGTTCATGCCCCATGTTGGGATATGGAACTCATATAGTCTAAGCTGACACTTCAATGCAGGACTGGGGCAATGCTGTCAGAGGTGCCGTCTTCAAATGAGACATTGAACTTAAGTTCCATCTACTTGTTAAGGTGGTTGTTAAAGATCCGGTGGCACTATTCAGAAAGAGTAGGGAGTTTCACTCTCCCGGTGTCCTGGCCAACAATCCCCCAGGTAAAATTGGTCATTCAATTCATGGCTGTTTGTTGGACACTGCTGGGTGCAAATTAGCTGCCGTGTTCACCCACAAGGTACTTGCTTTACAATGTGTCTGGGACGCGCTTTTAAACATCCTCCTGATGTAAAAACCCCGATATTAAACATTAGGATTAGTATTTTTGTAAAGTTCTGCAAATGGCTTTCTCTAAACGAGGTGCTGCTTCAAACACCAGAAACTGATGGTGGCCCTGTTCAGTGACAGCACAGATCTCACTTCATTCTGATAAGAGGGCAGAAATGGAGTGGATCTACACTTCACCCTTCAAACTTTCCAGTTCTAGGCACACCTCCTGCCCTTCCTCTCCACACAGAGCCTAATAATAATCCCTCCAAAACAAAACAATAATAAATTGGTCATTTTTAATCCACGACTGTTTGTGGGACATTGCTGTGCGCAATTGGCTGCCGCGTTTGCCCACAAATATACAGTCAATTCACTTTACAGTATATTCTGTGAAGCGCTTTGGGACGTCTAGAAGACGCGAAAAGCACTATATCAAATGCAAGGATTATTATTATTATTATTAAGATACTGAAATGTGTCATCACCTCTCAGCTTTGCTGCTTCCTGGCTTCCACCCACAGCATCAAGACAGCCCTGGTCAAAGTCACAAACACATTTCTTTCTGCCTGCTCCTGTGCTCCCTGTGCCTCCTTGTCCTCTCCACTTCTTTCGACACCATTGACCATCCTCCTCCATTGCCTCTCCTCCCTGGTACATCTGTGTCTTCCTGGTTTCACTTCCTTCCTGAGTATCGATATTTTGCTTCTAACAGCTTCTCTTGCTGCCCCATACAAAAACGTGCAGTGTTCCTCAGGGCTTTATCCTCACCTTTTCCTCATCTATATGCTTTCCCTTTCCAACATCATCTGTGGGTCTAGTGTCCACCTCCACAAACACGTGGACAGCCCCAGACTCTGGCTTTCTACCTTGACTCCAGGACCACTGCTGTTCTGACAGAACACCTGTCAAACATCATGTCCTGGAGAAGCTGTAACTTTCTTCAACTCAACATCGACAAAATGGCGCCTCTCCTTCTTGGGTCCCGCCAGCGTCACCTTACATCAGGAGCTGACCGTATCATCCTCTCTGGTTGTTCACTCCGACAACTGAGGCAGAACCTCTGCATTTTGTTGGACCCTCAACTCTCCTTCAAACCCTTCATCTGGTCTTGAACACATCCAGTTCTTACATCTCTGTAACATCGCCCCCCACACTCTCTACATCGCTTCCCAAGCAGTCCAAACCCTCATCCACATCTCCAAAGGCTACTTTCCTAACAACCTGTTCACCGACCTCCTGAATTCCACACCATCCAGAACTCTGCAACTTGTATCCTCTCCCACACCAGACTCCTCCATGTTTGCTCAGCTCCACTGGCTCCCTATTTTCCACCACCCTAATTCAATGATCTCCTTCACTCTTACTACCCCAGCCAGTCCCTCCGCTCCACCAACTCTGGCCTGCTGCATATACCCCCTATCTGCTCCACCCTCTCACCCTATGAGTTGTCAGCTGCTGTCCTTAGGGAATTCTCTTCTGAAATCCCCCCATCTTTTACTGGGTCTTCAGCCACTTCCCCCTCCCCTCCCAGTTCGGACTATGACTCAAGTCTTTATAAATCGCTTTGAGGCACCCTCCGTATGTGAAAGGCGCTATTATCAAAGGATTATTACTATAAAGGTGCTGTGTAAGTGCAAACTGCTGCAGCTGTTTTGCTTGTGGCACACCTGTGTGAATTCTCATGTGGTTTTTGTAGTTTGTGGCGCTGGCGAATCCTCGGCCACAGCCTCGCTCAGAGCAGATGTACGGTCTCTCCCCTGTGTGCGTCCTGATGTGAACCTTGCGGATATTGGATGTGGTAAAAGAGCGACCGCAGCCTTCAAATGGACACTTAAAAGGTCGTTCTCCTGTTGGGAAAAAGGATGGTGTTACTCCTTGGGGGGAAAAAAAACTCCTCAGCACGCAACACAACAAACGTTCAGGCTCAACACTGTGTTGTGGTGGCACCAGATGAATACCCTATAACAGCCACACCCTGAAATAAACAAATAAAGCAAGTCACTGTGGCTATTGTTTTATAGGTTCATCCACTGAACTGTATTCAATGCACTAAATGTGAAATATTACACTATCCTCCCATTCCCCTTGGTTTAGAATTCCTGATCTGACTCCCCGATTGTTCAGTAGGTAAATGGAGTAGTGTGGTATTGAGCCACAAAGTTCTCAGCTTTGATCCCTGCTCTATGCTGAATTCTCTGATGGTTGCCAGAGCAGTGGAAAGGGTGCTTCAATTGATTTTCCCAGGAGAGAAGAGGAAAATCAGACCCTGATCACTATCCAGTGACTCGGATCAGGAATTGTGTGCTTGTGGGCATCTAGTGAGGACAGGACTGGGATTGGTTGGGACATTCCCCAGAGTGAAATTGCCTGCCAACACTCACCGTCTGGGCTCACACGTGAAGGATGGCCACTTGGGCGAGAGGGCTTCCAGCACCTGTGGAATCGTAACCAGCAGGAGTCAGCACCTCAGGAGAGGACAGGTGAACAAAACAAGTTGCACTTCTAGGCATATGGTAAGTTATGGTATCATTGCTAACAAAGAGGAGATGTATGACGTAACGAACCACACCAATGCCCAAAACACCAATGTGTAACTCTGTGTTTACCAACTCTACCTTGCTGTTCTTTAACATGGTTCTGAATTCCTTACCTTGCGCTCTCTACCAGACAGGCATGGATTCACCCCAGAAATTCCCTGCGCAGTGAGTTTTCCCCATCGCTGACACTATGAGGAAATGCAAAGCGCTCTTCTTCCTATGAACCTCTAAACAGTTGAGCACATACAAGAGGCCTACACGCCTTCTCGTCTGGGATACAAGTTCACGACTTGCGGGGGAACCTTGGAAGAGAAGACAATGAAGTGGAAAGAAACCGTTGCTACTCAGATCTGGACACAAAACTGTTATTGAGGGGTCTAATATTCCTTGAGCATTTGTATTTTTAATGATAAACATTTTAACTAAATTCAACGAACCTTGTGACAGTGCAGGGTTTGGGTTGCTATTCAGTGAAGTATTTGCTTGTTTTTTCAATTTTTATTGATATTGAATTGTCAATGAAGAATTCAGTGAATAATGGGGAAAAAGATTTGAATTTTTTTTATCAGCGGTTCTTCCAAATGACAATCCCAGGAACAATGAAGGTTTCTTGGCTGACTGGTAATCTGTTCTTATCAGAATTCAACTTGAAATAATAAAATATTTTAAACACTCCATTCGTCGGTGCAGCATCTAATTTGCACCCCACACACCATGCATATTATTAACACCGGGCATTTGGCCATGATAGAGATTGCTTTGTTCTTCACACCGTTTTTCATCTGTGTCTAAACAAAGAGATGGACCCAGTACAAACTCCAAAATAACTTGACTTTTTTTTAGTTGTCATTTATTCTTAACATTTGATTTTCTTCCCTCTTCCAACAGCAGTGCCTCACTCATGTTGGGTTATATGACTCTAAGCGAAAACATCTCACTAAAGGCTAGCAATGTTACAGACTACTCTATTCCACCACTGGAGGGGAGGGAGAAGATGGTTGCTTTGCAAAGCCCAAACCTGTTCTTGATGCTCGCACATTTGTCCTTGCTAGCAAGGATCACAGGATATTGATCAGGAACAGAAATCTCTAAACTAAAACTAAAGGAGATTGAGGCCAATTCTGCCACACAACAGTACCCTAACCTGAAGTCACTTGCCACAGGCCAAGGCTGACCTCCTGGGTCCTTCATTATCACAAAGCTTAGCATGCACCAGCAGTTTAAGGTATTTGAAGGAATTAAGTGATACAAAATTAACTGCTTTTGTTGGGAATTTGTTCCACACATTGCCTACTCTGTGCTGGGGTGGGGGTATTCTTCTATTCTCGAGGTTTTTAATTTGATTTATGTTAAGCTATTAGTCTGGATCTCCATCTTTGCATCTCAGCATTTCAAAGATCTCTTCAATCTTTTTTTCACAGTAACAATTTACACCTTAATACAGCGCCTTTCACATGGGGAGACCGTCTCAAAGTGTTTTACAAAGACGGAGCAGGAGTCCGAGCTGGGGAAAGCTAGGGAATGGGAGGGAAGATCCAAAAGCGAAGTCAAAGAGTCTGCAGGCAGCATTTGAAAGCAGAGAGGAAAGGGCAAGGCAGAGGGATTTCAGGAAAGAGTTCCAGAGGGAGGTGACAAAGTGGCTGTTAGTTTGCCTATCAATGGTGAGGCAGAATGGACGGGAGTAGCATTAAATAGGCCAGAGGTGGCAGAGCAGAACGAGTGACTGGGAAGTAGGGTTGCAAGAGGTCATAATGTAGAATGGTGCAAGGATGGTCTTCTGTGGAAAAGGATGAGAATGTTAAAGCTGATCCATTGGGGAATACGGACCTAGAGGGGCTGGGAAGGATAGGAATGATGGACTAACATTATTTAATGTGGGAGAAGAACTCTAAGTGGTGGAGTTTTGTTTGGTCTGGAGTTTGTGGAGGGTGGAGCTGAGGAGGTTGAGCAAGCAGGACTTTAAACAATCAAGTCTGGAGATGACAAAAGTGTGGATGAGGGTTTCCGCTACATTGGTGGTGACTTAGAGGGGGAGGCTGGCAATGTTACGGAGATAGATGGAAGGTTTGAAGCGGATGTGGAGGCAAATAAAACAGAGATATTCCGCACAAACTCCGTGATTTGGAGGGCTCAATTGCCTCCAATATTTTGGCATATTGAAAAACAATACTTGTTCTTCTAAATCACATGTTAAAAGTACGAACGGACTGCAAGGACATGTCTGTACACTGCTCGCAGGTGTGCTTCCATGCAATTACTCTACCTGTGTGGGTTCTAATGTGCTTCTGTAAGTCTCCTGATGTTTTGAATGCTTTATTGCATATGTCTTCAGGGCATTTGTACGGTTTCTCTCCCGTGTGTGTTCTGGTGTGACTTTTCAATCCGTAACCTGCATTTTAACAAAAAAATACACATTGAGGTATGAACAGGTTCACTGACAGGTTTAACTTTTGTTTTAAACTAAGGGAGGGAATGGCAAAAATGTAATACTCAAAGCAACCAATGTGGAGATGTGGATCACACACTGTGTGTTAACATTAGAGACCCTTGTGTTCTACACTCATAATGAGGACATACTTTTATAAGCCTGGAGTAAAACATTCCCTAGCGTTACACAAACAGGACACATTAGACCCTGATCTGTTACATCAGAAAAAGTGATGGAAATAGAAGGAAAATGAACACCAGGAAAACAAAGTACAAAAAAAAATATGTACAGCAAAAGAAGACAAATGCAAAGGAAGAAAGCTAGAGCACATCGCAGCAAGAACAGGTCATAGTAATTGTTTTGCTTTCATTCCATTCCCTAAGGTTCATGAGCACTAGGTACAACTATATTCATCCCATCACACTTACAACAAATGCCTAGGAACAGACTAGTGACCGAGAGCTAGTGTAATAACTCAATGTCACAATGCGTTAGGAAGCAGACTCTGCCCACAAATCAACACAAGTGACATGGAAATTGTCATGGGATCGAGGTATTTTCGAGCGGGGGGGTGAGAGGAGGGGGGAGAACATCCAAAGCAAAGTCAAAGTTTGTTAAATGTTTGAATAGACAAGAATGTCCCAGATGAGCACAAGCACTATATTTAGGCAATGTCTGAGAGAAAAAGATTTTGGGGAAATCTCACTTCAACTCTCTTTTGGAAAAGAAGTTAAGATCAACGTAATCTGATTATTTTCCATACTGACAATCAAATTTCAAGGCAGTCAATTTAATCAGGTGCAATTTTCCACTTCACTTGCATGATCCACTTCAGTGCGTAGATTTATACAATCATCACCTGTAGCAAATGCTTTCCCACAGCCTGGTTGCTCACACCTGTACGGCCGGTCTCCAGTATGAGCTCTTTCATGAACCTGTAATGTTCCACAGAACACAGTGTTAAAGTGACTCTGTAACACACCTGCTGCTAGCAATAATATGGCTCCCTTGATGGCCACCGCAGAAGTTTCCAATTATGTTCAGACAAATTCAATCACCAAATTCATTGACAGGGCTCAACCTCTGGGGAACCATAATGGATTCTACATCTTTCCCAATACAGATGCATTGTTGCAGTCACTTTTCCTGAGTCCCTCTTTCTTTGCCCCCTCTTGCCATTTCTCTTAGAATACATGCCCCATACTCTCTACTCCATGTCCTCCCAACGTAAAAAGCACTACATAAATGTAAATTGCACCTTATTGCATTTAACCCACAAAAACACACTAATAATAATTTGGTCACTCAATTCCGCTACTGCTTGTGAGACACTGCTGTGCACAATTGGCTGCCACTTTTCGCCCACAAAATATACAGTCAATTCACTTTGCAGTATACTCTGTGAAGCACTTTGACATGTCTTGAAGACGTAATAAGGTGCTGAATCAAATGCAAGGATTATTATTATTATTATTGGCCCAGTCGTTCTTTCGTGCAAACATATTTCAGTATGACACTTTACCCCGTATCTTTTAGTTCCTTTCCCAATCCCTTCTGCCCTAACCCCATCTTCTTCTATCCACAATCCCAACCCCACCAGGGTTCCCTGCCTCCCATGATTGATCTCTTCCTCCATAGGCTGCTATTGTTGCTGGGAAAGTGCATCATAGAATCATACAGCACAAAAAGAGGCCATTCGGCCCATCGAGTTTGTGCCGGCTCTTTGATTAGAGCAATTAATGTCAATCCCACTCCCCAGCCTTTTCCCCATAACCCTGCAAACCCGTCCTCCTCAAATACCCGTCCACTGCATTCTTAAAAGTAGTTATCGAATCGGCCTCGACCACCCTTTCAGGCAATGCCTTCCAGATTCGAACAACTCGCTGCGTGAAAAAAATTCTTCTCACCTCCCCTCTGCTTCTTTTGGAGACTATTTTAAAGCTGTGTAGCTGGCAGACATTGAATTCTCCATCTGGTTTGGATACTCAAGCACGGGGATGAGTTTCCGCATGTGTCACGACTCCCAGCTGACTCCCCCAAATGAATGGCCTTTGCCCGTGCCGTACTTTCTTGTTATAAATGTGTGTTTGCGCAGTAGAAATGGTAAGCACAATTACAAGAATTCAGAGCTACCACTAGATGGCAACAACAGACTACGCACTTTAATGCAATCTCAAGGCAGAACAACAAAAAATTACATTTACGCAGGTTTTCATGATAGGAGGACGTCCCAAGGCGCTGGACAGTCAGGGATTTGAACCCGAGCTGGGGGTTGGGAATCAGGAGGGTGGAGGGCAGGGAGGGTAGGGATAGGAGGGTGGCTGAAGGCACAGTCGAAGAGGGTCTAGAGACGTGCCTTGAAGGAGGTAAGTGAGGGAGCAAGAAGGCACTGTGGGATGGAGTTCCAAAGGGTGGAGCCAGAGAGGCTGAAGGCTCAATCACAGCCTGAGGGCAGTGGGTGAAGGCAGAACGGGTCATGGCACGGAATGTGCCCCCCAGAAATCTGCTGCGGGGCAGGAGGAGTGCAATAATCCAAGTATAATTCTCATCGAGTCACAGACTATAATTCTTATCTAGAATGCTTTCATATTAAGATGTTCAGAATCATCAAGAACATTTCTGGCATTCAGCTGAGTGACATTTTATAACACAAATTAGTTTTTGCATAAATGATTACTGGATACATCGATTTTTTTTAATACTGTTGTATCTATTATTGATCTCATTTAAATTTCGTGAGGATCATCCAAGCTTCACCTAAAATAAGGAGTTGGTGTGGATTGCACGGTTCAGCAAATAGGGATTTGTTCTATATACACTTCTAAAAATCCTTGGATTTGATATAGCACCTTATGAGACACCTCAACATGCTTCACAGGATTTACTGTGAATTGTAGCGACTGTGTATTTTGTAGATAAATGTGGTAGACAATTTACGCTGTCTCATAAATAGCCATGGAGTGAGTGACCAATTTTAATCTAGGGGATTTACACTTTACACAGGTTTCTCACACTTTATGACTATATACAGACAAAACATTCACTAGTGCTCTGGTCATTTAACAAATTGGTGTGGATTAAGCACTGTAAGAGGAGAGAGGTCATTACATGGAAAAAGCAGTGGAAGCGGTTTATTTTCATGTCAGTTTAAGCAAAAAATGGTCTTATAATTACATTGCATAGAGGATGACCAATTATAAAACGACTGACCAAATCAGCCATTTACACACTACAAGAATTACTATAAAGCTGGGAGAAGTTTTTACATGTTAAGAAACTATACAAATGTAAGTTCTTTCTTTGTTTAAATCAGATTACATTCGTCAAACAACTGAAAAACTGGCCTTAATACCCTTGAAATAAGGGGGTGGGGAAATATCAGACAAGGTTCCATCTCTGGATCTCTATCCAGATCAATGGTATTTGTGTTGACATCAGGTGTGGATGGGATGGATGCCTCCTCATTGTCAAAGCTACCACGTGTATCGGTCATCTTTTCCTTCCCCTCCTCTGATCCCCGCTGGGCACTGCCAAGCGCCCTCCAATGCGAAAGGCGCAAAATAAGTGTATATTGTATTGTGTGTAATGCCCACTCGGGCACGCAGAGTGGAGGAAGTTCCAGAGGGTAATTGGTGTTTGTGGAACTAGTAAAATAAACAAAATGCCTCCAGGAGAGGAAGAAAAGGAAGAAAAACAAACGGGGAAAGCCGGCTATTTACCTTCAGATGATGTGCAGTTGTGTATAGGCGGCCACAGTCCTCAAACCCACAGCGGAATGCCTTTTCCCCAACTTGCTGGCCTTTGCTGAGCCGCATTTCACCATCAATGACCCGCTGCACAAGAATCAGAAAACCACTCAATGTTAATTAAAGACATCAATGTGCACAGCACGTTACCAGATACCAGTCTCACCTCAGCTAACAAATAATAACCCTTATCATTTTTGCTTTTGATATAGCGCTTTATCACGCCTTCAAGACGTCCCACATCGCTTCACAGAACATACTGTAAAGTGAATTGACCGTATATTTTGTGAGTGAAACGCGGAAGCCAATTGAACACAGCAATGTCCCACAAACAGTCGTAGATTGAGTGACCAAATTATTTATTTTTCTTGGAGGAATGATTACCTCCGGAAAAGTGATCTGCCAATTGACTAACAACCGGGTTCCTACTTACTGCTAGTTAAACAGAGGTGTGTGAAGTGAGGAAACTTGCTCAACATTTTGCTCTACTGGGAATCGAAGCCAGGTCTCTTGCTTGCGAGGCGAGTGCTCTAACCACCGAGCTACAGGACTCCATATTCACATCTGGTGGCTTCGCTCAGGTGCCTGAGCTTGGACAGACCAGAGAAGGTTGGGAAGGCTTTCTGCTCCCCATCACTGAGACACTGCTGGTGGTCAGTAACCCACAAATCTGTGGAGAACTGTGCAGGCTGTCCCCGCGCTCTCCGTGACGTGCACCATTCCAAAATTGGAGCAGAGACTCGAGCAGATCAAGGCAGGGATTTGTGATATTTAAAATGAAAGTTTATAATAATCCCTGCATTTATGACACCAAAGCTACAATGCTGTCAGAGCGATTGGAAAAACAGAGCAGAAACTGCTAGTTAGAAGCTGACTTTTCAAAAGTCAGAACACTTTTTAATGCCTGTAACATTTGTATAAAAGCATTAACATTTTGCAAGAGATCAGGGAGTCTCTTTCAGTGTCTAACTGTCTCCCCTACAGCAAAGGGGATCTTGACATTTGAGAGGGCGCAGTGAATGGCAGCTAGATTGAGTTACAAATAGAGGCTACAGAAGCCAGGAATGTTCATGCAAAAGAGAAACTCAGGTAACATTTTATTGAAATATTCAAGATCCTAAAGGTATTGATAAACTGAACCCTAATGTTTAGCATGTTCACCAAATCTAGAACAAGGACTCATGCTCAGAAGAAGGAAGGTAATCAAACGTAAATACTTTTTATAGAGTGGTAAACATGTGGAATAAACTACCTAGAGAGGCAGTGGTCACAGATTGAGTCAGAAATTCAAGAGGAATTATACCTTTATGTACATTCCTATGTTACTACACACACACTGTTTATAATTTATTAAATTGTCATAAAATGAAGCAAACTCTGGAGCATTTCAGGTTTATGGAAGAGACTACAGTCCCTTACGGCTCACCTTTTACACTGATGGAGCCTTGATATCAATCCTACATTGGTGCAAACATTACTCTTTGAGTAATCAGCACTGAAGTCAGATCATACCTGCATAGGTTTATCTTTGTTCATATCTGAGGGTAATCCAGTGGTACTGCTGACACCTTCATCTTCTTCAGATACCTAGAAAGAGAAGTGAGCACAATTATTGTATAGTATAGTAATAATTCTTGTATTTGCCATTGGGCCTCTAATGTCAAATTATATCAAAGTGCTCTCTTGCATCCTTCAAGGCATGTCTCAAGATCCTTCTCTTTGACCGCGCCTTTGGCCAATTTCCTACCCCTATCCTCCCTGTCCTGCACCGCTTCAAAATCTCTGACTATATGGTGTTTCGGGATGTCCTCCTGACATGAAAGGCGCTATCCAAATGTAATTTGTTGTTGTTGGATTCAAATGTAAACTATATTATTGGGACTGGCCTTTCATTAAATTCTCATAGCTTTAGAAACTCAACTGCTACCTTCTCAATTGATTCAGCAAATTCAAAAAGATCGACAGGAAGCTAATGGGCTATATTTTTATTGTCAAAGTGCAGGTTCTACCTTCTGTGGGGTTTTTATATAACGTATATTACGTAAATCTTCCAGACAAGAGTGCAGCTGAACATGTCCAGATTGGGATTACATGATCGATTATCAACACACAAGCAAGATTACATTGCCCCAAGCTTACCTTATTGGCATAATGCTCAAGAGCACCAATAGTCTCGTGAGCAACTGTGCCATCTGTTGCTGCTTGTAGCGTCTCCAAACCCGCCTCTGTTTGTACAGCTAGGATAGTGTTGGAACCCTGCATCGAAACTGGGTGGTGGATATAAGCTGTTGTACCATCCTCCAATTGCACAGCTTGTACTGCATCTGGGTCAAATTCATCTGAGAGAACAGATTAGGTCAATAGGTGTCAAAGTAATTTAAAGGCTGCCTACCTCTGAGGATAGTTACATACAGTGACAATATTCTACCATACCATGTGGAGCACATGACTAGCCTATAATCTTTAACCAGTTCCAACTCAGCAAAATATATCAACAATACGTTAATATGAAATAACCAAATATTTATAGGCTTTTAAAATCTTCATACAAAGTACTTGCATTAAGGCACTGTATATTTACTTAAGTAGAGACAGACTCATTGCATAAGCCTAGTGATTGCATTAGTTCTCTCATCCGATCATTACACAGTTGATGTCTGACATTCTGTTACATGTTAATCAGAGTCAGCCTGTTATTAGAGGGGAGCACAGGGTACCTTTCTGGGTGTGATGAATGTAAGCAGTGCTGCCATCCTCAAGCTGTACTGCCTGACCGTCTTCAAAAGGCAGAGAGTCACCTGCAGATTTAAATGCATTAGAAGCCTTTAGATGCATTGTGCAAAACATGCAGATTAAAAAAATTACAAGATTGCAAATTGCAGAATTCCATGTTGGATATCTTTTAATCTCTGCATAATTTGATGGAGCTAATGATAATCTGGTTTCTTTCACTCCTCAACTCTCACAAAAATAACTAATTGCTACCATCTTTTATCATTAATGGCTCCACTCTTAATGCTTATTCCTCTGGTGATTCTGCTCAACCTCACTACCTCCTCTGATCTAAAGGGAAACATCTTTTCCATTACTAAGAAAACCTTAACGAAGCTTATGACAACCTAGTTAAGTTGCTAGCACTCTCGGCAGAGACAAAAGGTTGTTGGTTGAAGCCTCACATCAGAACTTTTGAGTCTGTAGTCTAGGCTGACACTCCAATGCAATGTTGGGGGCATAATGCATTGTCAGGTGTGCCACACTTCGGATAAGATGGTAAACCAAGGTCCCATCTATGCCTTATCACTGTTTGTACAGCTAGGATTGTACAGTGTTTGTACAGTGGATGTTAAAGATCTCATGGCACTACTCAAAAAGAAAAGGGAGTTTCTCCCAGTGTAATGGCTAACAGTCTCCCAAATAAAATTGTTATTTTCTTCATGGCTGTTTATTATAATCTACAAAGCACGATGGAGCAGCATCAAACCACAGGACAGCTGAATAATTCTATCGTGGATTTCCACTAAGGACAGGATTTTAGAGGTCTATCTGCAGTGCATCAAATATAGCTTACTTGGTTAAACTAAATAAGATAGTTGTTAATCCTTTTGTGAACTAATTGCACAGAGTTTCTGTGCAGCAGAATATTGAGTTTAGACTTCCTATATCATGTCCAATTGCACAGAGCTAATAAAGTTACTTTTCCTTAATAAAAAACATAGAAAGGTTTACCTTGCAGCAATATATCGGACTAATTCCCACAAACCCCTTAGAGGCAAGCACACTTGTGTAAATTTGTCTGTATTTACCATGTGTTTACCTTTTTGCACTGTGACTTGTTGGATGTAGGCTGTCGTACCATCTTCCAGATGAATAGTCTGCCCTTCAACCAACTTTGCATCTGTCAGGACATATTCAGAAATCAATAAAGCAGATTGTCTGGGGAACACAATGAGGGAAATAAGGAAAATCTTAACATTTTCACTATAAGCACTAAACATGATTCTAGTACCACTACAACAATTAATAGGATAAATGTTTGTAAGAATTTGGTTTGATAGCCGTTTCTACAAAGTTAGTATAACAGCCCTGATACGAGGTCATGCCTTCTGGCATTAAGTAAGTCTGGCTCCTTAAAGAGGGCTGTGACCATGACTGGGGCCACTGTATTTTTTTTAAAATCATACTTGCACATAACAATCACCCCCATGTTCGGCCAACAAACCATCCCTTTTCTGATTGAAATACTCATTCATGACTGGGTCCTCACCTTTCAGTGTGTGCTGAATGTAGGCTGTCGAGCCATCTGTAAGGGTCACTGCCTGTAGGCTCAGACTTTCCATTGTTTAGTGTATCTGAAACAATTATAAAGCACTGGCATCAATTAACTGTTGAACATGAACTCTCTATAACATGTTAGCGAGTACACAAACAATATATCTAACGTGATAACAAACAACAACAAAATTACATTTGTATAGCGCTTTTCACGTCGGGAGGACATCCCAAAGCGCTGGACAGACAGAGTTATGGATCCGAGCTGAGGGTTTTGGGGGAGGGTGGAGGGCAGGGGGGGGAAGCAGGGAGATCGAAAGCACGGTTGAAGAGGAGGGTCTTGAGGTAGGTCTTCAAGGTGGCGAGGGAGGGGGCGAGACGGAGGGAATGTGGGATGGAGTTCCAGAGGGTGGGCACAGAGAGGTGGAAGTCCCGCCCACCAATAGTGGGGTGAGCGAGACGGGGGACGTGAAGCATGCCGGAGCCCGCTGAGTGGAGGGAGCGAGCAAGATGATAGGGGGTTAGGAGGTCGCAGAGGTAGGGAGAGCAAGACCATGGAGGGCTTTGAAGGTGAGGTTCAGGATCTTGAACTGTATCCTCTGTGTGATGGGAAGCCAGTGGAGTTGGGCGAGGATGCGGGTGATAGGGTCCCGGAGCCTGGTGTGAGAGAGGACACGGGCTGCAGAGTTCTGGATGATCTGCAGCCTGTGGAGGGAGGAGTTGGGGAGGCCGACGAGCAATGAGTTTGCATATTTGAGCCTTGATGTAATGAAGGCGTGTATGAGGGTTTTGGCCGCCTGCAGTGTGAGACAGTGGCGGAGTCGGGCGATGTTGCGGAGTTGGGGGAAGGCAGAGCGGGTCATGGCGCAGATGTGGGGTAGAAACGATAGTTGAGGGTCAAACAAGACCCCAAGGTTCCGGACTGGCTCAGTGAGGGGGAGTGAGCCCCATGGATGGTGATGCTGTCAGCGCCTGAGATGAGGAGGCACTGACGGGAGCCAATCAGGAGAACCTCAGTCTTGTTAACGTTCAACGGAAGAAAGTTAGCTCTCATCCAGGACTTGATGTCCGACAGACATTCTATCAAGACTGCAGTGGTCCTGGAGTCAAGGGTGGAGGCAGAGAGGTAGAGTTGGGTGTCATCTGCACACACGTGGAGTTGACCCCATGTCTGCAGATTATGCCACCAAAAGGGAGCATATAGATATTGAGGAGGAGGGGACCAAGGACAGAACCCTGAGGAATACCGCACGAGCCGGTGCGGGGGCTAGAGGAGAAGCCTTTTGAGGAGATGAAGTGCAGGTGGTGTTAGAGGTACGATCTGAACCAATCAAGGACAGCGGCGTGGAGTTTGAGGTGAGAGGAGAGGCAGTGGATGAAGATAGAGTGGTCGACTGTGTCGAAAACAGCAGAGAAATCAAGTAGAACGAGGAGTCAGAGGGAGTCCTGGTCGCAGATCGACAGAAAGTCATTTGTCATTTTGACCAGGGCAGTTTCTATGCTGTGGGTGGCACGAAAGCCCAATGGGAGGGGTTCAAGAAGGGAGTAGCGGAAGAGGAAGGAGCGAAGCTGAGAAGCAACAACTTGTTCCAGGTTCTTGGAGAGGAAGGGGAGGTTGGAGATGGGGACAAGAAATACATGTGAACAGAATGTTCTTGGATCATAGGGTTAAAATCTGCAGTAACCTATTTACCCATTCCTTTTGCAATGAGCACAAGGAATCAGTTGAGAAACACCTGTGTAGGGGTTAAGTACCTACTACTGAGCACCACCATTCCTTGATCAAGATATTTCTTCTGGATTTTTAATTAATATGAAATCTGTAATATCACAATTCTGAGAAATGAATTATTAAAATCCAAGGATGCTTTAATAATTTTATAACTACACATCTCAATACAATGGAAGCCAGAAGTCTGGGACGGACGTTTTGTCCGGTTTAAGAGGAGCCGAGATTAACTGAAATACCATTCCTGCCCAGCAGAGGAGCCCCACTGAAGGCGTAATATGTAATAATGGTGTTTCACTTGAAGTAATGTTGACTAATCAAACAGGACACCAAGTATTTTAACCTAGGAGTTAAATTTAAAATCCTGTTCCTCACAGAATTCAGTAAAATATACTTATTATTACAACAACAGGGATTATTGTCCTGGAGCACTTGACAGAGGTGGAGTCTGACACTGAGCCAGGGGGAGAGGGAAGGGGGAGGTGACCGATCAAAAAGAAAAGTCTTTAGGTGGGATCTGAAGGAGGGAGGGGGCAAGGTGGAGAGATTGAGGGAGAGAGTTCCAGAGTTTTGGGGCGTAGTGGCTGAAGGCAAAGCTCCGGTAGAGCGGAGAGGACAAGGGAAAACAGGAGGCCAAAGCCAGCCAAGCGGTGGCAGCAGGTGGTGGAGTGGGGGCATCGTTGAAAGCGAGTGAGAAGATCTTAAAATCGAACTTAAGCATAAAACGGCAACATTATTGGTCCACTTTCAAATCAAAAATTACAATAGAAAAAAGCTAATTCCATTTAAAACACACCTTCAAATTATGAAACCTTATTGAAATTGTTTTTTCAAAAAACAAAAGTTCCTCATAATTACATTGTCACATATAACAGGTCCACGATCCAGATGCTTACATCCAAATTCACCTCAACCTTTGAGTTCTCTTTGCTGCAATCAATCCTGCAAAAAAAAAACATACATTGAAATTAGCAAGCACAAAGTATACTAAAAATCCCCCAGAAAGGAAGTCTCGATCTTTTAATATTGGAACACAGGAACATTTAAAAATATGTGAAAATTGTACATCACAAATATAACATGGAAAGCAATAAAATAAGCGCCTATAAAACTCTGACAAAGTCTTAATATTCGGTTGGCACTATTGCAATATTAATTAGCCCAGTTCTGTTGTCAATTCCGCCACTGCAGGAACTTCTACCTCCACAAAGCGAGCTTCAAGTTCATCATATGAGGTCCAACCATATCTCTCTAGTGCTAACTTGCTCCATACTGGTTTCACGCTACATAATATTTCTGGTTTGACAAGTTCAGATGATGAAGGCCTTTCTGATTATTTGACTTCATGATCCCAGAATACCTCAGTGCCTTCTCATTACACCATTAAGCAGATTTTTAAACGACAGTGCCTGCCCTCAATTACCTTCCTGGTCATCTGTTTCAGCTGTTAATTACCCTCCATGTAAAGAAATACTTTCCGTTACTAAAATTGTGCTTCACATTTCTTAACCTATAGCTTCTTGCTCTGCTGCTTTGGCATATCTGGAATGTTGTTCTGGATTTATTTTCTCAATCCTATTGAACATTTTATATACCTCTTCTCAGACATCCCTCACCCACATGGAACCCTGCTTTCATCATTTGGTGCCTTCTAACTGAGGGTAAAGCAATGACCAGAGCATGAACAATACAGAAAGGACAACAATGTAGGCTGGTTATCTCCTCTCGTGTTACTGTAACATTCCCCAGATAAAATCACTCGCTCGCTCAACAGCTATTTGTACCCAAATCGGCTGCCGCGTTCACTCACAAAACACACGGTAACTACATTTTTAGTGAATCTTTTGAAGAGTCCCGTAGCATAGAGGTTAGTGCGCTTGCCTTGCAAGCGAGAGGATCCAGGTTTGATTCCCGGGCGGGGCAAAACTTTAGGTAAGTCCCTTTACTCCACATACCTGATTACTTAGCAGTAAACAGGAACCCTGTTGTTAGTCGATTAACGGATGGCTTTCTAGGGTAATAACCTCTAAAAAAAAACTAATTTGGTCACTCAATCCACGACAGTTTGTGGGACACCGCTGTTTGCAATCGGCAGGAAGGAAGCAATTCACAGAGACTCCACCATCAGGCCACACTTTCATATCCCCTACCTTTTGACAACAGAACAGCATAGTCATCGCTGGTTACTGAAAGTCCAGCACACATGGCTCACATGACTTCAAATGGAAAACATTTCAAAATACCAAGGGATTTTTTTAGTGTAAAATACTAACATTTCTGAACATGTAGTCTACGGAGATAGGAACTGGAAGTTATAAAACAAGCACCTGTTACTCAAAATTCTGAGCTGCCCACTTGCAAAAGGGATACCAAATCATTGTCTTGTCTTAAATACTTTCAGAATTATTGTAAGCATCATTTAAAAAAGAGGGAAATAACCACCTTGAGAGAGTATCAGAAATGCATTCAACATTACCGTAGTAGACAATGCCTCGCCTGTGACTTGAGGAGGTGAGCAATCCATCTGTTATTAAACTATTCTGTGCGTCTGATATGACTTCAGACGTAACTGGGAAGAGGTAATTTAATTGGAAAAAAAACTGTTTCCTAGAACCTGTTCATAATCCCAAGGACAAAGAGATTTTGCAAATTACTTCTGTGCCTACAGCACACAGTACTCTACTGGGAGCCCCCGCAACAAGGTTTGTTACCTTCATCACCACTGATTAAAACTCAATACTTTTGACTACTGATAAATGCAGCTCAACAATCATTTTCAATAATTCCATAAGAGATTAGTGCTCTCTAAACAAAGTTTTTTTTAAAAAAACTGCTTCAATAATCCAGTGAGTCAAAATCAATTGGTGCAGAGGCTCTCTCGTTTCGCCCACAAATATACAGTCAGCTCACTTTACAGTATATTATGTGAAGCGCTTTGAGACATCTAGAAGACGTGAAAAGTGCTACATCAAATGCAAGGATTATTATTATTATTTATTCAGAACAACAACTCTGATAAGGTAAATATTTATACATCAATATGGTGGTGGGTCAGTCCAGCAACACAGCGGTAAATCTGAAAATGTGCTTATATTGGATCATCACATCTGAATGAATGGTATTCAAAAGGTCGGTAACAATGGAAAAACACTCACTTTGTTCACTGCATCAATGATCCTCTAACATCCCTTTTGTGGGCGTTTCTCCCACAAAGCATACAGTCAACTCACTTTACCGTATATTCTGTGAAGCATTTTGGGACGTCTGAATGGCATGATAAGGCGCTATATCAAATGCAAGGATTATTATTATTATTTAAAACATTTAAGGTTAGCAGCCTGGGTAGCTCAGTCAGTCAACAGAATGGTAGGTTCTCGGTCGAAGTCCCAATTATCCACTCAGTCTTTAACCCTTTCAAGTTCAGTAAAATGTGATACCGTGTCTAAAAGGAGACACTCGTTATGAGTGTGAACGATAAGCAATGCCTGTCTCCCTGCAGCTGCACAGGCTCAGCCTATAACAAAGTTAATTTTTGCTAAACTTTCCAATAGATATTGGGGAGGGTTCAATTCTCCCCCCCAACCCTCATACTCAAACAATGGTACACAGGATGAAGTATATAAAAAGATTTAAAATTGTTATGCAATTGGACAAATTAAATTTAATACCAGTAAATGTAAATACTACACAAAGGGGGGAAAAATGGGATACAGTGAACTGAACTAGAGAAATGGAGACACACAAGGAAGGGGTAATTCGGCCATCATGTCTGTGCACTTAGAAAGGGACTTGCATTCTACTTTCAATGTACACACAATGCAATATATAACACAATAACACACTTAGTTATTTCAAACACAATTCAATGCCTCAGTGGGAGTTGCTGTACCAGTGGGCTGAGGCTCAGTGAGTTGAAAGACCTTTGCTCATGCCCCACTTTTCTTGTGCAACTTTCAAATAAAATTGCTGAGTAAAAGGCCAGCATTGTTTTCCCACTGCTGCAATCCCGTTTTTTGGAACAACAGTGTTGAATGGTGTGGATGATGTGTATTTAATATGGTCTAAATTCACTGTTCATATTGTCACAAATGGAAGACAATGTACATGATTGTTTTTGATTTACTTCTTTTTGCCCCCACTTAACTTTCTCCATATTAGTCACTCAAAGAGACCAAACAAAAATATATTCTCCTTGACTGTCTCATTTGATGAGCACAAAATATTTTTCAAATGTGTAAAGCCCGACCTCTAGGTGAGCGTAAAATGATTTAATACAATAGATTCGGTTAGTTGGATCAGAATTATGAGTTAAAGATCAGATGTTGAATTGTATGGCAAATTAAGTGTAAAACAGTTAACACTGTGTTGTTACTGCCGGTATCTCTATCGTTGAAGAAATTATGTCCCAGCTTGGAAGCAATTTCACCCAAACACACAAGTGTGCTGCAAGTTCTAAGGAAATATACGGTATTCTGTGTTCACTATTAAAGATCCTGTGACACAGTTCCGACCAATAATCCCCCAAAGGGATCATTCATTACACGATTGTTGGTGGGAGCTGTCTGTGGGCAAATTGGCTACCTGGTTTCCTTACAAATAGTGTTACTATACTTCACAGTAATTACCTGTGAAGCACTTTGAAATTGAAGTTTTTGTTTTGCCTTAAATTTTCTTTCCATACTCTCCATACCCTAGTGTCACTGGGGCGCACTGGCTAAGGGGATTGAATGATCTAAAGTTTTAAACCATTCACCAGGCGGTATTTGAAAGCTTCTCCGTCAGATGTTCCACCCCTCTGTTAACCATGCACCCAGCCTTTCCTTAGCACTTTACCACAGCAACAAAGCGAGAGCAGTCAGGAGGCACAAACTGACAAAATAGCAAACTATTGTGAAGGATCAAAAGTGAGGTGGGAGTTTGTCGCTAACACACAAAGCAGCTGCAAAGAGGGAGAGCTCCAGTCGCTAACCACCCTGGAGGTAGAGTCGGCTTCACAGCAGGCATGTCTGTTTGCTAAAGGCCCTCACATGAGTACCTGGATTAAGCAGCTGATGCTATGTAAGCCTGGTACACGGCATTGGACTTGGACTTCGAGAACATCAGGGTGACTGGCATGTCACAAGCTGTGCTGTAAAGGTCCTCCCACCACATTGAAGGCAGATGTCTGTCGGATAGCTGATGAGGAATCTCTGAGGCTTGAAGTAACAGCTGCTAGAAGGCGTTACCTGGTATCCGAGTTTGTGAACAGATGTTCTGACATCCAGCGCCTGGAATCCACCTTAATTGGCCTGCAGGAAGGCAAGCAGCTGCTGCTGAAGCTCCACGCCTCCAACTGGTGGAAGCTCACTCAATGAGAAGGACTGTGTATCCAAACTGCAGACAGGAAGATGGTGGCTATACTGTCACGCATTTCATGCCATGCTGCGTTGCCCACCAGGAAGCTTGCAGGGATTTCCTGGTACCTACCATCCACGTAGTGAGGTCGCCAATCTTTGCTTGTAGCCTGTCAAATGACCAACTAGTGACTATCCTCCTGGGAGGGGTGGAGGAAGGGAAGGGAGGAAGGGAAGCTGGGTCTCCTTGGAGCTGAACTGGCTCCAAGGTGACATGTTTGGCAACGGATTGTCAGAATCAAGCCAACCCTATGTGGTGGCCTCGGTAGTCTGGTTCCTGAGCCAGGCTCGTCAACAGTATTCCAGTACTGCTGATGACAGTACAGCCAGCCTGGCTCATCGCAGGACTTTAAGGGGTTGACCAGTAGCTCAGTGGTTAGAGCACTTGCCGCGCAAGCGAGAGACCTGGGTTTGATTCCCGGCAGCGCAAAACACTGGCAAGCTTCCTTACTCCACATGCCTCTGTTTACCTAGCAGTAAGTAGGAACCTGGTTGTTAGTCGATTGACGGATCGCTTTTCCGGAGGTAATAATTCCTTCAAAAAATAAAGAATAAATTGGTCACTCAATCTACAAATATTCATGGGACACTGCTGTGCACAATTGGCTGCCGCATTTCGCCCACAAAATATACAGTCAATTCACTTTATAGTATATTCTGTGAAGAGATTTGAGACGTCTCGAAGACGTGATCAGGGGCTATATCCAAATGCAAGGATTATTATTATTATTAACCCTGCAAGCCAAATCCCTAAAGCGCAGGGTGGTCGAAACTGGGCAAGCAACAGGAAAGCTGGTCAGGCAGTGCTCTCAATCGCAAACTATGCGGTTTTAGCTGGTTAGACTCCAGCAGTACCACAATGCATACTATCGGGTCCTCAACCCTTGACTCTTGCCAACCTATGCCTAATACTTTCCGGAATTAGATAAGCAGGATGTGTCCTTCCAAGGCGAGTGCTCATTCCATTGCAAGAAATATCTTTGGAATTTCCATGTGTAGGTGAGATGCGTGAGACTTTGTTTTAAATACTCATAAGCACAGTGATGGTTTTCCTTATGTGTCAGATACCCACCTGACCAAAAAGACCTGTGAAGCAATACCCATTGAAACTCCAAACTCCAATGACAGTATGTTACAATTGCACTTGTGGATATTGCAATGTGCAAATTTGCTGCTGTGATCTAGAAAACAGACACACTAAACAATAAATCCTGTGAAGTGCTTTGAGACATCCCCTAACACGAAAACTGCTTTAACAAATGGAAGTATTATTTACAAGCGCAAACATTACTTACAGGGGCGGAATTTAGCTCACACATGCAAGAATAGAAATTCCACTTGGGTCTAAATTTACTTAAGTTTCTTAAGCATTTCAGTGCGTTTCGAATTTGATAAATTTTAAAATAGTCTTAATTTTGAAGCTGGTTTTCTTTAACTTATTTTAAGAACTGTAGAACAATCTTCGAAGTTAAGACTGAAGTTAAGACAACAATTTGCTAACTTCTGTATGCTTTGCACTGCTAATAAAATTGAGTAAATCTAGACCCAGGTGAAGTCTCTTTCCCACAAACCTCTAAATTAGATAAGTTGATTTAATGATAAATGGCTCAATACTAGGTCAGCCCAGTGGCACACACACATACTGTTTCAATACAATATCCCTGCACAGAATACTCTCAGCTGAATTGGTTTGGAGATGCACCAAGTGTACTTCAGAAATGGATTGGGGAAGGGAACCAAATGAGGGAAAGTCACTCAAAGGCTATTTTGATACATCTGATTCCAATGCAGTTTCCAGAATTCTGCATTAAAATTTTAAGATAAAAAGGATCTTACACACTAATGGAATTTGCGCTTAAGTTGCCTTCCCATTAAAAGGGATATTCAGGTCACCAAGTATATTAGCGCACATGTCTATGCAGAGCATTTGCTATACGTGCCAAAGAGCTATTAAATAGCAACATTTATATATATACACACATATTATATATATATATATATGCCAGCTCTCTATACATGCCCAGAAATTATTAAAGCTTTACTTTTTTTTATTGAAAGTTTATTTGGAACCAGCTGCAGTATAAATTGTGTTATAATGCAACCATTTGCATCGATTCAGTTTCAAATTCAATTTAAGCGTTCATTAGTTCAGCCTGGGTTAGTTGGTTGCACGCTTCCCTGCGAGTCATAAAATTGTGCATTTAAGCAACACATCTCACACCAGCACTTTGAGCTCAGTCTAGGCTGACATCCAATGCAGTGCTGGGGTGGGTGCCTCCACTTCATCTCAGCAAATGGTTTCTCCTGCCGCCCCCGTCTGGTTACCTGCGGGGTACCCCAGGGCTCCATCCTTAGCCCTCTTCTTTTCCTTATCTATACGCTCCCTCTGGGTGATGTCATCCACAGACACGGGGTAAACTTCCACATGTAAGCGGATGACACATGAATCTACTTTGCCTCCTCCAGCACCAACTCCAGGTCCCTCCGATGTTCTATCAGCTTGTCTGGCAGACATCAAGGCCTGGATGAGTGTAAACTTCCTGCTGCTGAATATGGACAAGATGGAAGCCATACTCCTGGGCTCCCGTCAACGTCTTCACTCCTGCGGATCTAAACTTCTCAACCTCCTTGGACTCTCCCTGAGACTTACCGAACTAGTGCGCAATCTAGGCGTCCGGTTCAACCCCCAGCTGTCCTTCCTCCCTCACATCCGGTCCCTGACCAGGGCCGCCTTCTTCCACATCTGTCACATTGCCCGCCTCTGACCGTAGCAGCGGACCTGAAAGCAGCGGAAACTCTAGTGCATGCATTTCTCACCTCCCGCTTGGATTACTCCAACGCACTCCTCGCCGGTCTCCCCAGCTCCACCATTCACAAGATCCAGCTCATTCAAAACGCATACTAACCTGGACCAAACTCCTTACCCACACCTCACTAGTTCTGGCCAGGCTCCACTGGCTCCCCATCACCAAACAGATCGACTTCAAGATCCTCACACTTCTGTTTAAACCACTTCACTCTCTGGCACCTCCCTACCTCCTCACTCCCCAATCCATCACCCAGCGCCTCTGCTCAACTGGCACCGGCCTCCTGCTCGTCCCTCCCAACCTCTGCCCCAATATCAGAAGTCGCGCTTTCACCCACTACACCCCAAAATTCTGGAACACTCTCCCTCAACCCCTCCGCCTTGCCCCCTCTTCCCTCTTTCAAGTTTCCCCCTGAAAATTTTGCTCTTCGACCTTGCTTTCGGCCACCTCACCCTCCCCTACAGCTCAGTCAGGCTCCACCACTGTTAGGCGTTCTGAGACGCTACCCTGCATAGAGGGCTCAATATAAGTGCAAGTTGTTGTTTCATTGTTGGAGGTGGACCTCCTTTGCCTCCTTCAAGACCCGTCTCTTCGACAATGCCTTTGGTCACTATTCTACCCCTACCCTCCCCACCCTCCAACCCTCCTGATTGCAACCACCAGCTCGGGTGCTCGGGTGTTGTTGCTATCTTTCAGATGAGACTTTAAATCAAGACCCTGTTAATACACAACAATGCACACACAGTTTGCCTGTTCTGGTGGACATGAAAGATCCCAGCTATATATACAAAGAGATAGGAGTTTCTCCCAACTGAGTCAAAAACTCAGCAGTCTGCACAAATTAACAAATCACAAGTCACAATACTGCTGTTTCACGTGGTACATTTAATGCAATGAAAGTTCATCTTTTGTGAAAAAAATACAAGGATATTCTAAAAATTAAAATAAATTCAGCATCAATGTTCAGTAATATTGGAGGAAGGCTTGAACGGAGATTTTCAGTGTTCAATGTGTCATGCCATGCTGAAACACTCACCTCAAAGGACAGATATACTTTGACAAGACCAGTAAAGCTAAGGTGACATGCTTGGCAACAGAAGGTCAGAATCAAGTCAACCAGTCTCGGTAGTCCTGTTCCTGAGCCAGGCAGATCCGCAGACATTGCTGACGACAGGCCATTCAGCCTGGCTCATCAATAGAACTTGGAGGGGCAGATGACAGCCACTAGAGCAGGGATTCTTTCCACTCAGCTCCTGTTGACCCTGCAAACCAAAGCTCCAATAAGTAGAGTGGTCCTCGCTGGACAAGCAATTGGGAGCTTGCCAGACAGTGCTTTCAATGGCAAACAATGCGGTTTTAGCTGGTTAAAACTCCAGTCACTCAACACACACTCGGGGGTCCCAAAGCTTTGGCTCTTGCCAACTTATGCCTAATAGTCTCTGGAATTTGATAAGCACAGTGCATCCCTCCAGTCAGAGTGCGCATTCCATTCCAAGCACATGAATTTCCACACGTGGGTGGTAAATATGAAACTCTGTTTGGTTTGATACTCTTATGCATAGCGATAGGATTCTGCATGTGTCAGACCAAAAAATACGGTGCAAATTAAATAATCAATTGTATGCGGACGACACCCAAATATACTTCTCCTCCAGCTGTGATTCCAGGTCCACTGATGTTCAATCTACTTTACCGTATATCCCGTGAAGCGTTTTGAGAGATGATGTGATAAGGAGTTATATCAAATGCAAGGGTTATTATTACTTAAATGAAATTAAGAGTACTTAAAATATTTTAAAAGATAGCAAGATCTACTTCTTTAAATGTCATGCACACACAAGAATCACTAGTTATTCTTGGTTTTGTAAATGCAGCATGGTAGTATTTTGGGGCATCTTCATTTGAGCCAAGAGGAGGCTAGCTATGTTTCTGTGGTTCCACAGTTTAAACAGGACCATTTTCTTGTAGCATGACAGTAAGGATCGAATTTTGCAGCTGTTGCATTTTTCTGTGATGAAATTCCAGGAAGTGTCAAGACTCTTATAAGATGGATAGATAATGCCTTATTTTTTTAAATATTTTTACCTTTAATCTTTGATTCTGTGTAAATAGTGTTTCAGTCTAAAAAGCTGAACAATTTCTTCTCAAGCTCCATGGAAGCATTAAGTAGCCTGTACGTAATCCATTCACAGTGAATTTAAATCAGAAACCTTACCATTCCCTCCCTGATAGTAATTAGCAAGTCTGTTTCTTCTCCACTTGCTCATTTAATAGTCTCGTCTCCCTCCCTCTCTCTTTTGGTCCTTGTGTATTGCATCATTTTCTCATCAAGTATATGCGAGCAGCTGCCGTTTGGTAAACAAGCACTGCATTTTGGAAAAAAAATCTCCCCCCCTCCCTCTTGGCCGCCTTTGAGCTCCTTCCCCTCCGCAATGCCCTAGCCTCCTCGATCACTCTTCTCCACAGCTCCCTCTCCTCCCTCTCGATTCCCTTGCTCCCCTCTCCTCCCGAACCGTCTCCTATTCACATAAGTCACCATGGTACACCAGCCACTTCCCTTAAAGCACAGGCGCGTTCCACTGAGCGCACCTGGCTTAAATCAAACTTAATGGTCCATCAGCAGATCTGGCTGGACCATATCAAATTCTACTGCTCCACCCTCGCCTCCGCTAAATCGTCATTCTACTCCCAAGATAATCTTGGAGGCCAAGGACAAACCCAGGCTCCTCTTCACGAACCGGCTCCTCCGCCCACCCTCTCACACCTTACTCATCCTCACCTCAAATGCCCACTGCGAGGCAATGCTGGACTTCCTCGAACCCAAAGTCGAGGGAACTGCTCAGCTGCTACTGCCACTGCATCTGCTACACCCTCCCCATCTCCTTCGCCCACCCCAGACCCTACCCATCCCTCCCTCCACACCTTTGAACCTGTCTCTCCCTCCTCTCTCTCATCACAACACATATGAAACCGACCATCCGCTTCCTCGACCCCATCCCTACCCCACTTTTTACCTCCCTGCTCCACCTCCTTGCCCCTCTACTCACTGACATCACTAACCTCTCCCTGTTTTCTGGTGCTGTTCCCACCCCATTAAAAACTGTTGTCATCACTCCTAACCTTAAAAAGCCCTCCCTGGACCCTCCTCTACTCCCAAACTACTGCCCCATCACCGACCTCCCCTTCCTCTCCAAGGTCCTGGAACGAGTTGTTGCTTCTCAGCTTCGCTCCTTCCTAATTGACATCTCTGCTGTTTTCGACACCGTCAACCAATCTATCCTCATTCACCGCCTCTCCTCTCACCTCAACCTTCACGGCTGTTTTTGACTGGTTCAGATCGTAACTCTCACACCGCCTCCACTTCGGTCTGTCGGACATCAAGTCCTGGATGAGAGCTGACTTTCTACAGTTGAACGTCAACAAGTCCGAGGCTCTCCTGATTGGCTCCCGTCAGTGCCTCCTCACCTCAGGCGCTGACAGCATCACCATCCATGGGGCTCACTCCCCCTCACTGAGCCAGTCCGGAACCTTGGGGTCTTGTTTGACCCTCAACTATCCTTTCTACCCCACATCTGTGCCGTGACCTGCTCTGCCTTCCCCCAACTCCGCAACATCGCCCGACTCCGCCACTGTCTCACACCGCAGGCGGCCAAAACCCTCATACACGCCTTCATTACATCAAGGCTCGACTATGCAAACACATTGTTTGTCGGCCTCTCCAACTGCTCCCTCCAAAGGCTGCAGATCATCCAGAACTCTGCAGCCCGTATCCTCTTCCGCAATAGACTCCGTGACCCTGTCACCTCATCCTCGCCCAACTCCACTGGCTTCCCATCACATAGAGGATGCAGTTCAAGATCCTGGTCCTCACCTTCAAAGTCCTCCATGGTCCTGCTTCCCCCTACCTCTGCAACCTCCCAACCCCCTACCATCCTGCTCACTCCCTCCGCTCAGAGGGCTCCGGCCTGCTTTACATCCCCTGCTTCACTCGCCCCACTATTGGGGGGTGGGCCTACTGCCACTCTGCCTCCAACCTCTGGAACTCCATCCTGCAGTCCCACCACCTCGGCCCCTCCGTTGCCACCTTCAAGACCCATCTGAAAACCCTCCTCTTCGACCGTGCTTTCAATCTCCCTGCTTCCCCCCCACCCTCCCCGACCCTCAGCTCGGGTCTGTAATTCTGTCTGTCCAGCGCCTTGGGACATCCTCCTGACGTCCCATCTGCACCATTAACTGACACATTCTTTGTGTCAAAGCTCTTAAAGCACACTTATATCAGATTGTATAAACACAGAAGTTGCTGGGAACATGCAACAGGTCAGGCAGCATCCATGGAGAGGAAAATGAGTTAACGTTCCAGGTCTGTGACCTTTCGTCAGAACTCAAATCAGACTGTATCAGATTGCCTACAACTCAGTCACAACTGCTAAAATAATGCTGTTGCAGTCCTGTTTAATTTTACTTGAGAAAACATTGATTAGTTAGATTGCTGTAAAGTTCTTAGTAAACATTTTCTTAAGTTTTTTAAAATTTATTAAACCATTTCTCATTTCAAATCAAAATGGTTTTGTCAAATTCTTCAATTCATGAATGCAACATTAGTTTTATTTGGCTTAGAAACTGCTGATCTTTCCTAATTTGTAAAAAGCTATGGTACTCCAATTACCACATAATTGCATTGATTCCTTCCCTTGTCTTAAACCGAAATACAGTAAACTCCTGATAACTTGACACTCCAAGCTCAGTGACAAGTTATCCAGAGTGTGAAGTAGGCATATGTATAAATATATAAGGCCGGGATATTGACAACACGATGACTTAAGTGGCAGTGACAAGTTAAGACAGGGTCGAGTTATCAGTTCACTGTACAGTCCAGCAGTTGCTGAAGCCTTCAACTCATTAAGTTTCCTTCTCTCAAGACATGTACAATTCTGTGACAGAGAGCTTTCAATAAATTCTCCTACAATAATCACAGGAGTCCCCGTGCTTTACAGTGAATCCTGGTGAAGCGCTTTGAAGGCGTCCTCGGGAAACGAAAGGCGCTCTCATCAAACGCAGAGATCATTTAACTGCAGTGTGGATGGAGTTATGTAATCGCTACTTGACCGCGGACCCCACACAGAACATTTGCTCCCCTTCAAACCGGACACTTTTAAGTGTTGTCACTGAAAGGTCCATCCGAGACACAGATCCATTGGTGTGTGTGTGGCTGGTGTCTGTGTGTGTGTCTGTGTGTGTGTCTGTCTGTCTGTGTGTGTGTGTGTGTCTGGTGTCTGTATGTGTGGTGTGTGTGTGTCTGTCTGTCTGTGTCTCTGTGTGTGTGTGTCTCTGTGTGTGTGTGTCTCTGTGTGTGTGTGTCTCTGTGTGTGTGTGTCTCTGTGTGTGTGTCTCTGTCTGTGTGTGTGTGTCTCTGTGTGTGTCTCTGTGTGTGTGTCTCTGTCTGTGTGTGTGTCTCTGTGTGTGTGTGTCTCTGTGTGTCTGTCTGTGTGTGTGTCTCTGTCTGTGTGTGTGTGTGTCTCTGTCTGTGTGTGTCTGTGTGGCTGCATTTCTAGTTACAACCATTAAAAGCGGCTCAGGGTAAACTCCAGTCACTGAATCTAATGGGGGGCGGACAGCCCCGGCCGCAGCCTCCCGACCCGATAGAGACCAATAACGGTCCGTAACCCGGGAAATCCCTCAGGCACATCCCCCCCGGCACCGCGGGCCACCCTGGGCCCGAGCGGCGAGAGGCCGCCGCGGGCGGGGGGTGAGGGAGAGCGGCCGCAGAAAGCCCTGAGTAGGCCTGAGAGGCCGCGGGTTTGAGTGGAGGCTCCGGCGGCGGGAGGGTGTGGCCGCCGCCCGGGGCTGGACGCTGCCGGGGGGCCGGGGGAGCCGGGGCCTGGCGCTGGGCCGCGGGGGGCAGAGGCTCCTCACTAACCTGCTTTTTTTTCCAACAATTCCTCCGTGCGACCGCCATGCACCAGTGCAGGAAGCGCTGTGGCGGGAACGCGCCGCCCCGGACCCGGCATGACGCAGTCGGAGCCCGCTCCGCGCCGCTGGATCGCCTCGCCGCATTCAGCGTCCCGGGCCCCGCACCTCCCCGAGGCCCCGAGCCGAGCATGCTGCCCCGGAACGTGTGTACTCACCGTTACACACGTCACGCATTAGGTACTTGGGCGTGATATTCAGCGTCCTGGGCCTCGCACCTCCCCAAGGCCCCGAGCCGAGCATGCAGCCCCGGAACGTGTGTACACACCGTCACACTCGTCACGCATTAGGTACTTGGGCGTGATATTCAGCGTCCCGGGTTCCGGCAGCGACCCCGAAACGGGTATACACAAATCGCGAAACGCATGAATGACCGCGAGGTGGCTGTAATTCAGAGTTCGGGGTTCCCACTCTTAAACGGATCCACGGAACATGTGTATAGGCACAGGACGCCTAGTTATGACCGGAGGAGTAGTCAGTATTCGCAATTCGGGGTTCGGCTGGCCCCGACACGTGAACAACAACAACAACATCCGAGTCGCGTCTTTCACGTCGTTGGTGAACGTACGTCATTGCGTGGAAACGTCACCACTGTCGGGAGTTCAGGTCACGTGGCTGGTGGTACCCAGAGCCAAGGTGTTGACCGATGTCCTGTTGTGCAGCGCTCTGGGGCGCTCCATCGGGGACACAGGCGCAGGAGTGGGCCGTTCAGCCCATCGAGCCCGTCCCGCCATCTAATAATAATAATAATAATAATAACAATCCTTGCATTTGATATAGCGCTTTTCACGTCGGGAGGACGTCCCAAAGCGCTTCACGGAACACACTGTAAAGTGAATTGACTGTATATTTGTGGGCGAACGCGGCAGCCAATTGCGCACAGCAATGTCCCACAAACAGTCGTAGATTGAAAATGACCAATTTATTATTGTTTTGGGTTTTGGAGGATTATTATTAGGCTCTGTGTGGAGTAAGGAAACTTGCCCGAGGTTTGGCCCTCTGCCTGATTAGATTATGGCGCTGATCTAATTAAATATCTTTACTGGAATTTCGAACCCCAATTTCCCCCCTTCTCCCCGTGTCCCTCACCCACCCCGACCTCCCGAAGAGCTGCCAATCTCTCTCCGGAAGGTGTGGATGGGTGCAGCGTCCACGACCTTTTGGGGGGGAGAGAGTTCCAGATTTCTACCACCCTTTTAGAGTGGAAAACATTCTTCCTGATTGGTGAGGGGACGCTACGTAAACGCAGGCTGTCCCGTTGGTTTGTCCAATTCCCTTGCGCTCGTACGTCTATTTCTGCCGCCTCAGTGTTGGGATTGCACACGGACATTGGGGCGAGCGTAAGTTTATTTTTTCTTGACATTTCCGTTCGTTAAGAACCATTTCTCGAAAACAATGTGTACATTTGATTCCCGCGCGGTTGCAACAGACACGATGCTGTGGATACATAATTATATTAAGACATTATGCTTTATGCGGCACAGACATCTCAAAGGTTACCGTCACAGCAAGATATATAAACAGTGGTTGACTTTGTTATTGTAGCTAATTAGAGAATATCGTGTTATATTCCCTCACATAGTACCCATGAAATCTGGTGTCACTTAATTTCTCTTTAATTTTAATTTTAATGGAATATTTATGGTGCCAGCATTAATTGGAAACAAACTCTCTCATTTTGTATTTTGCTTTTAGACATACTACAACGATAAAGCTACTTTTATTCAAAAGATTACAAATTGTTGTAGGCATTTGCCTACAATACACAGTCTGCGGAGTTCACAGTAAATCCTGTGAAACGCTTTGAGATATCCTCCAGACATAAACAGCACTGTATCAAATGTAAGGATTCTTATTATTGTTATGAGAAGCACTGATTGTCAAGCGCCTTGGGAGGTCCTCCAACCTGAAAGGCACTCTATACGAATGTAATATTGTTGTTGTATAAAATGCAACCTTTTAATCACCTGGAACAGTAACCATTGAATAAAAGATAATGATTCACCTAGATCTGCGGAGGTATTATCTATGGAGTGGACATGGAAAGAAAGTGGAAGTTTACCTGTGTAAAATAATCTAATAATTGATAGCCATCATGGGTTCAGAATGAGTAGGTCTTATCTGACCAATCCCATAGCCTTTTTTGAGGAGGAGACAGCCCAAATTGACTGTGCAAAGCAATATGATGTTTCGACACAGTGAGCAACCGATCAAGAGAACTTGAAAGGGTGTGCAGCCGAAATCCTCATGCATGCGTTTGTCACCTCCCGCTTGGATTACTCCAGAGCATTACTTGCCGGTCTCCCCAGCTCCACCATTCACAAGATCCAGCTCATTCAAAACTCTGCCGCCCGCATACTAACCTGGAACAAACTCCGTACCCACATCTCACCAATTCTGTCCGGCTCCACTGGCTCCCCATCACCAAACGGATCGACTTCAACATCCTCACACTTGTGTTCAAATCGCTTCACTCCCTGGCACCTCCCTATCTCTCCAACATCCTCGCTTCCCAATCCACCACCCGGTGCCTCCCCTCGTCCCTCCTCCCCACCATCGGAAGTCGTGCTTTCCGTCATTATGCCCCAAAACTCGAATATTCTCCCTCAATCCCGCCACCTTGCCTCTCTTAGGTTTCAAGTTTAACACTGAGAAATGTAAGGTACTACATATAGGATCCAAGAATAAATACTCAATGGATGGGACAGAACCTGCTAAAGGAAAAGCTGAGAGAGATCTCGTGGTGTTAGTTGACTCATCGCTCACTGTGTCAAAACAGTGTGAGGCAGCAATAAACAAGGCAAACAGGATGTTGGGCGAGGAGCTAAATCGGTGGAGTTCAGATTCCCAGACGTCATTGTCGTTGCTCTGGTCAGGGCGTACCTTGAACACCGCACATGGCTCTGGTCACTGACATAAGGGGCTGCACAGGCCATAGAGACAGTGCAGAGGAGAGCAACGAGGATGATTCCCAGCGTTAGAGGAATGAGCTGTGAGCAACGACTAGACAACCTCAGGCTCATCAGTCTTGAGAGAAGACGACTCAGAGACGATCTCATATGACATTTTAAATGGGATTGAAAAGAAACCCAGATCATTACTTTAGAATGTAATTTCAGGACAGACACCAGGAAGTTTTTCTTTATGCAGAGGGTAAACAACAACAGGGACAAGACACTGGACTCATTTAAAAAGCATCTTGATGCTGTGATGGGAGATCAGTAGGGTGGGTGTTCTGGAAGGGATGAGATTGGATGAACCAAAGGGCCTTCTTTATCCAGATCAATCTTGTGATATTGTGGCTTCCTGCATGCCAGCCAGTTCTCATGCTAAAATGGCTGACTTCTAGGTCATTTGGTCATCATTTCCAGCTTGAACCCAGCAGCGACCTGATGACACAAAGTCAGTCTTTTTATTAAAGTGTGGGAACACAGTGAAACTGGCTATCGTGCCTTGTTCTTGGATTCCCAACACTGCGTAGAAATTTGCAACACAGAAAGCCTCTTGTGTCTGTGCTGGCTCTTTAAGGAACAATCTTTTCAGTCCCATTTACCTAGTCTTTCCCCATACCCCTGTAGTTTAAGGTTATAACATTATAACAAGTAACCAAGGTACTTAATTATTCTGATTAATAGGTTTTACTTGGTCATGTAAAATAAATAGTCATGAAGATGAAGATTAGACTTCTTCCTGTGCCATACATTTCTATGGTTCTAGGTAATATTTTATCAAGGTCTATTTTTGTTGGTTGGATGGGTGTCTGATACACATGGAATACACGTTAAGAGTATCTAAATCAGACAGAGAGTTCCATGTCTGCCATGTACACATGAAAATTCTGTTTCTACCCAGAGTACACATCCGATTTACTTAATTCCAGAGAGTATTATGCACAGGTGGCAAGAACCAGGCACGGTGACCTCAGAGTGTGTGTTGGGGGCACTTGCTTTGCGAGCGAGAGACCTGGGTTTGATTCCCAGTAGAGTGAAACGTTGAGCAAGTTTCCTTACTCCACATACCTCTGTTCACCTCGCAGTAAGTAGGAACCCAGTTGTTGAATCGATATGCAGATCACTTTTCCGGGGGTAATAATTCCTTCAAAAGAGTTGGTCACTCAATCCGCAACTGTTTGTGGAACACTGCTGTGTGCAATTGGCTGACGCATTTCTCCCACAAAATATAGTCAAATCAATTTGCATATTCTGTGAAGCGCTTTGAGATGTCTCGAAGATGTGATAAGGCACTATATCAAAATGCAAGGTTTATTATTATTATTATTGAGACCACTGGCTGGCAAATTTTCCACTATTTGTCCAACTAGGACTATCCTACTCCTTAGGCCTTTGGTTTGCAGGGTTATCAGGAGCTGAGTGGGAGCTCAGTGGCTGGTCTGCTCCTCCAAGTCCTACTGATGAGCCCGGCTAGGCTGGGCTGTCATCAGGAGCCCCTGGAATATTAGACCTGCCTGGCTCAGGAATCGGACTGGAGATGGTCACCGAGGGCTCGATTCCGACATTCCGTCTATCTCAAAAGGCAAAAATCAACACACAGACCAGCAGTTGACAGACTAAGATACCAAATTTATTTACATAAAAGCATAAAAAAAATTAACAAAGCTATTGGCAAAATATATTACAATATGAAATTGAAAGTACTTAACAGGCAATTTGGCCACTTAAACAGCTCAGTCCTTTTGTTCTTTTTAAACAACTGTGTTCTTTAACTGAACAGCGCTTTAAAACAATCCGCAAGTGCTTTGTTTGTCCCCTCCATCTCACAGCTTTCAATTCTCAAGACTTTCTGCCTAGTCTCTCCTCCTACTGTTGCTGAATGGACTTGCATTCACTCACAAAGCTTGGCTGATGAGCTGCTGCTTATTAGCTAAACAGAAGCAGAAAACTGCCAACTCTGAGAATCACTCCTATCTATTCTAAAATTAGATCCCAGCAATGCAAAGGATTTCTCTGTGAAGTTGGTACTTTGACGCTTAGCGAGGAGGTAATATCTTGCCTTACTTATGTCCCCCATGAACAATGACATTTTTGTTGGCGTACACTGGTTAGTTCCTAGTTAAAGTCAATATTAACTACACTTAATTCAGTTCATAGCTAAATGGCCATTTCATTTAGGTTATCAAAATCCATTAGCCTAACTCACAACCAAATACCTCTTTGTTCTTAGGACCACAGAGAAACAAAAAGGCATCTCTCTGGGCAATGGAACCACAATAATTGTGATTCTTCACACTAATACATCAGCCCAAGCCGCCGGGCTCTTGGAGAGCTGCCAACAGACACATCTGACATCCACTTTGCTACCAAAAAATTGGGATAGTGACCCCGGGAGACCATTGGCACTCCCACACCTCTTCAGTGTTGTTGGCATGAAACACATGCCTTGAAGCTGAGCTTCTATGCTGCAGTGTTTAAAAGACAAAATTCATTCTCGACTCAAAAACCATGTCTGGATTCACTCTAGAGCAAACATTATGGATTAAATATATAGGCCTTACTTAGTGAAATCCAAATTCACCAAATCAACTAAAGTTGAAAAAATATATAGAAACCCCTCCATCTCCTTATAAAGATCCTGCTGTAGAATGATGCAGTATTAATAGTATGAAAGCTGCCCCTTTCATAATGAAGTAAAAACACTTGGCACTCCTCTGGGAGTTGGCTTCCAATCCAGTACAACAGAGCTGTTGAAAGCCTCTCTCTTCCTCAGTCTCTGAGGGCTATTTCAAGGCCTCTTGAATGTGAGTCTGAGCAATCCACTGCCCCCCACGCTCCGCCTTGAAGGTTTAGACATGTCCTCAACCCCCTAATAGATAGGGGTGGGAGGGGAGGGTCCTTGATAGCTAATTACTGTGAAATATTCCAGTGCTTTGTACTGATAAACTGTGTGGTTATCTTCTTTGAATGAAGATGAAAACCTTTCAGCTCTGGAGAATCCAGTCTCCCACCAGCCAAGGCAATGAAGCAGCAAAAAACTGTCAAAGGCTGCAAGGCATTCTATTGGGTTCTGGGAGAAAGAAATTAATTCCCCTCTTCCCTTGGGCTGGGAAATGCAACTTAACCTTCAAATGAATTAGTTTCCAGTCTTAGTGCAGCTAATATCAAAATAAATTGAAACAGCCTTTGTCTCTCTGGAGCAAAACCTTGTTCTTCCTCCCCTGGTTTTCTGTTGACTCTGACCTTCCGTGATGTCTTGCGACTTCCCTGTCAACTACATCCTTATCATAAGGGGCTACTTCATGCAGAGGCTAGTGAGATTGTGATTTAATTAGATAGTGTAGATGCATTCAAGAGGAAGCTAAACCTTCACATGAGGGAGAGAGGAATAGAAGGGTGTGGGAGGGAATAAAGAAATGGGTGAAGATTTGTGTGGAGTATAAACACCAGCAAGGACTGGGTCGAGTGGCCTGTTTCTATGCTGTACAGTTTGTGTAAATCTTTGGACTAAATAGTCCTAATTTTACACTCACTGGTTTCATTTCCTTAGATTAATGTTCAAATCATACTGCAGTTATTGGCAGGCGACAGGGCAAATGAAAGAGAATTTTAAAAAAATGTACTTGCTGCTTTCAAAGCCTTTTGAAGAGAGCTGCCTACCTCACTGCATCCTGGAAAACAGTTAGTATCCAGACATATGTCTCCAAGACTCATGGGACTGGGATAACAGCCCAATATGTCCTCTCTCTCTCTCTCTCTCTCTCTCTCCATGGTCCTGGAAATGTATTGAACAGTTTTCCACCATGTCCCAATTTCTGTGAAGCGCTTTGGGACGTCCAGGAGACGTGAAAAGCGCTGTATCAAATGCAAGGAATATCATTATTATTAAACGAGACACCTCGATTAGGAACCCAGGTACAAGAAGAGGTCATTCAGCCCATTAAGCCCGTTCCTCCGTGTTATTAGATCTTGGCCGATCTTTTCATTCTATTTTACTGCTCATAGTCTTTAGTCCCCTCACTTCCCAACTATCAGCTTCATTATCTACCATAACAAAGTAGCCACCGGTGAACAGTTTACATTGTGGTCTTTGGCTCGCCACGGCCTAGTTTTACACAATAAAATACGTTTCTTGAATTACACGTTTAGGTCAGGCTGCATTCATTTGTCCTGCACAACGCGGGTTTCAGTCTCAGGATCGTTTGGTATTGAATATACTCATACCCACCTGCACACCTTAACCTAGCCATGGAAGTCACCAAATATTTGCGTGGATAAAATGGTTTATATTTAATACGCAGAAAATAAAAATAAGTGAGCAAAATTGTACTAAAATTGATATATAAACCACCCGAGCCAAGGCAGGCTGAGCGACCGTGTCTTTGTATCAGCGGAACTATACTTGTGATTTGCTTTCTCTGGAGGAAAGTGATACCACAGTTAATCGAACACATGGTCATTGCGCAGTTCTAATGGTCGATACATGTCAAAGAGTCCGGAGACACAAACCAGCATTACAAAAAATAAGCAAAAAAAACCCCACAAACTACGAATATCTCAATTCAATTAAAAAACGACAATACAAAAATCCAAACTTTTGTACATGTTCAAATACAATTCTCAAGTGCAAATAAATTCCCAAATGAATGCGCAACGTAGCAATCCTGTAATATTTTCATTGGTTGTAGTATTGGTGAGAGAGTTACACTGCAGTGGAGACAAAAAGGCTTCCTTGGAGATATAAATATTGTTGTCTTTCTGTAGAAAATTTCCATCCAAATATTCAACAGGAGAGAGAAAAAATAATCATTGCACTTTCTTATACAGAGAGGGGAATAGACACATACACAATGCAGACAGAAGGTCCTAGTGCACAAAGTATGGTTGCATACAGAGCACGCTTTGGATGAGCTCCCAGCAGTCATATACACCAGCACAGGCATAAATATAAGGAATGAACAGTCTTTCTTATGACGGACTGAGAGCTATAAATAACGCACAGCAAAGTATGAATGGGATCCTTTTGAAGAAAGCCACTAAAAAAGTCAGCATAGTGAAATATTACGGTTACAAAGCTGTAAAAAATTAAATTCAGTCGGTCATTTTACACCTCTCCGGCTATTTGTAGGGACTTAGAAAGCTAGAAACTTTGGAGCGAAGCAGTTTAATAAAAGATCTTGGGAGCATTTCTTTGGATTCCTGCGCTGTGTACTTGAAGTAATTCTGTGGATGTGCCAGTACCTCGAAGAGAGCTTTAATCAGCTTCTTGTCCTGCAAGATTGAAAACAAACATTAGAAGCCAGAGCCTCCAGGACTCTGTTAACACGAGGATGGCATTGAATGTGCCAATCGCTGGGACTGATGCACAGCAGCTGGTATTGGAACTGAACGGAAATGTTAGCCAACTTGGTGTGGGTAAATGGCTACTGTACAGCAGGGCCCTGTTGTCTGATCCTTTTGCAAATAATGCATTTTAACAAGTGTGACATGTACATGTATGTACTTGTATATATAAATGTTTAATCCTCCATATACACCATATAAAATATTGCTATATTTTGGACTTCCCGATTGCTTTTTTTTTGGACTCATTTTCGCTTTGGCTCTTTTCAGCCCTGGTAGTGTTCTCTATTGACCTTGAAGCTGCTAGTAGTTTCTGAACAAAGAGTCTGGAAAGAGAATGAAAAGGAACAATCACTGACCTTCAAAATTTCCTGATGATTTTCCGATGCGTACAACCTGCCATCGCGCACAATGTCTTCCACCAGCTGCTCATAGTCCTCTAGTAACCAAAACACCAGAGGGAAAAAATGAAAGAAAAGCAAGTAGTGAGTGTCCCCCCACGTGTATATGTGCACATGTCCTGCTGCACGTGTCCTGCACCTGTGTCCTTGAGCATGGGTTCCCCAGGCACAGTCCCCAGCACTGCAGTGACAGGAAGTTGTACGGTATATCGACCACCGAACTGGCTACAGGGGGAATTTCCGGGTGAGACAGGTTGGGAGGTGAGCTCTGGTCCTCAAGACAAAGCCCCAGAGGCTGGAGAGCTGGGTCAAAGCCAGCGACAGCCACATGGCCAGTGTCACTACAGCACAAGATCGGTTATAGAAAGAACCTTCAACACAAAATGTATAGATGAACCAACCTTGTGCTGTGTGACAATAGCAACTGTCGCTGATAGCAAAACTGAGCATTAAAGTCACTGACCATCATAAGTCCTAAATAATGCTATCTCAATTGGTAGCACTCTCTGATTTAGAAGTTGCGGGTTTTAAGCCCCACCTCGGCACTTGGAATCACATAATTTAAGATGACCCTCCAATGCTGTGCTGAGGGGGGTGTTGCATTGTAGGAGGTGCTGTCTTTTGGATGAGACATTAAACCGAGGTCCCGCCTGCTTGTTCAGGTGAATATTAAAGATCCCATGGTGCTATTCGAAAAGACAAGGAAGTTTCTCTCTCCCGGTGTCCTGGCCAATACTTCCCCAAATGAAACTGGTCACACACTCCATGGCTGTTTGCAGGACATTGCTTTGTGCAAATTAGCTGCTGTGTTCGCCAACAAAACACACACTTTATCCCGTGAAGCGGTTTGGGATATCCTCTTGATGTGCAAGGTGCTGTGTGAAATGTCAGGTTATTATTACAAAGATAATAAAGAGCTGCCTCTCACTGACCATCATAGGTGACGTAGGGGATCTGAAAGCCTTTGACGCTGTTTGCTTCGTTGGTTTTGAAATTGACCCAGAGTTTGCGTGACCTGGCAGTGAATGCGATCGGCCGCTCGTACGTCTGGCAGGTCTCGTAGGTTGTGATGGAGGTGGGTGAAGCTGGGAAACAGGTAATAATTGTTGACTTTGTGTTAAAGGTACTTTCTGTAACATAATTATTTCCTTTATTATCAGATAAAATGCCAGATTCCTGCCTGGTCTAGTGGTGAAGGAACCACCTGGTGCTGACCCCGGCCCCCGAAGACCACAAGCTTTATCTGCTCTGTGCTGAGCTAGTTCACCCTGAACCTGAGTCACCAGTGGCTCCAATGCTCCTGGGTTGGAAGGGGAAAAAATCAACCAGGTGTGCTCCTGGTCTCTTGTGTCAGCTTGGCGCACTCTCGCCTCTGTGGCAGAAGGTTGAGGGTTTAAGTCCTAAGTTGGGGCTTGGAATCACCTAATCTAAACTGACACTCCAATCCAGTGCGGTGGGGGGTGAGGGGGGTGTTGTGTTGTCAGACGTGCCCTCCCTCAGATACGACATTATACCAAGGCCCCATCTGCCTGTTCTGTTGTGCATTAAAGATCCTGTGACACTATTCGAAACGAGAAGGGAGTTTCTCTTTCCCAGTGTTCTGGTCAACAATGCCCTAAATAAAATTGGTCAATTATTATTATCTCCACCTACGTATGTGGATATCTGGGTCTGAAATTCTCATTTCCATAGACTTAAGACTGTTGCCCTAAAAGTGCAGAATTCTGGAAAACAGTCTTAAAACTTATATTTAAATTTGAAAAACGTTTTTTACGCTCTCTTGTCAAATCCCATGTTGTTAAACGCAAAACACTGAATAAAGGAGTTATTTTTCTGAGAAACAGATGAACATCAGTGGTGTCGGTTCAACACTTTGCAGAAGCTGAAATTCTGATCATCTGCCGATGGGGAAATCTCATTAGGGACCAACCCCAGTGAATAGCCCCTCATGTTAGACTGTCTACAGCTTCAGTCTCTGAGGTCTCACATTCATCTAGAAAGTAACATGAACGGTGCTCACAGTTCTTCCTCATGACCAGGACATCTCCACATTCATCCTCAATGGGCAGGAAGATCTCAGGAACCACAATCAGAATCTTCCGCTTTGGAGGCGGGTTGATGTTCCATGTACACTCCACGTTTGCTGGGTAGTTGCCGGGGTAGTTAGGGGACTCCATGTAGCCCGTGTATTCCCCAAGCTCCCCACCACACTGACGATCTGCAGGAAGGAGACATGCCAACAGCTGGGTCATGTAGAAACAAACTTCCATACTGGCGAGTGTTATCTGCAATAATACTAGAAATCACTTCAGGCACAAAATATACAGTCAATTCACTTTACAGTATATTCTGTGAAGCGCTTTGAGACGTCTCCACAACGTGACATGGCGCTCTATCAAATGCAAGGATTCTGATTATTATTATTAAATCCTCTGGCCACTAAGTGGAGCCACTTTTGACGATGGGGTGAATTTTGCAGATTCTGTGATGTTGCACGTGGGCAAGTACTCAGGTGAGTTAACATCCATTGGATGAGATGTTAAACTGAGGTCCCACCTGCCTGTCAGGTGAATGTTAAAGTTCCCGTGGTACAATTCAAAAAGAGAAGGAAGTTTCTCTCTCGGTGTTCTGGCCCACAATCCCCCAGATAAAGTTCTCGTTCCAGTTCTTGGCTGTTTGTGGGACCTTTCAGTGCACAAATTAACTGCTGTGTTAGCCTACAAATACACAGTCACTACAGTTGACAGTGAGCACCTATGAAGCACTTTGAGGCAATTGGATTACAAATTCTGTAATAATATAATAATCTTTGCATTTGATATAGAGCCTTATTGTGTGCCATTGAGACGTCTCGAAAGTGCTTCACAGAATATACTGTGAAGTGGATTGACTGTATTTTGTGGGCAAAATGTGGCAGCCAATTGCGCACAGCAGTGTCCCACAAGCAGTCGTGGATTGAATGACCAATTTTTTTNGAGGAATTATTTCCCCCCGGAAAGCGATCCGCCAATCAATTGACAACCAGGATCCTATTATTGCTAAATAAAGTAGGTAAATAGAGGTGTGTGGAGTAAGAAAACTTGCCTAAGGTTTCGCACTACCCGAGTGTCACTTATTTAGACAACACCAAGTGGCAAGGCTGCCATGACGGACATCTTGTGGATTTGTGGGACTTTTGCTTACTCAGTGGGTTTCCTGATAAAGAAACCAGAAGCGCCTCACACAATGGCACTCCAATGCTGTCTACTCTCCAAGTGTTAATGGAGAGGGTCCAACATAGTCAGGGACTTGGCATCACAGTTACTTTGGGCGAAACGCAGCAGCAAAGTTGCTCACAGCGATGTCCCACAAATAGCCTTGAAGTGAGTGACCAATCCTTACTTTTACACTGCTTCACTGTTGTTGACCCGTCAAAGTCGGTGGTGGTGTTGCCGGGACAGGCGATGCAGTAGTTCTGGCGGAACTCTGGTTGGTAGGTGGCAACCGGGCAGCGGATACAGCGGTGAAGAGTGGTGTTATAGTAATGTCCTGGAGAGCACTGAACTGTAGGCGATGCAAAACACAGATGTCAGGGCAATAATCAAAGCAGTTTACATACAATCACACAGAACATTAAACTCCAGCAGTCACACCAATGCACACTGTGGGGTCCCCAAACCTTGGCTTTTGCCAACATATCTTCCAGAATAGGGTAAGTAAAGGGCATCTCTCTGGGGAGAGAGAGCGCATTCCACTGCAACAATTTCCATGTGTAGGTGGCAGACATGGAACTGTTAGTGTGGTTTGGATTCACTTCAGCACAGAGAGCACTGGGCATCAGAGCCCCAACCTGCCATCACCTGATATCCACACCTGCAGCACTTTGCTGTCAGCACTCTGTTAATCACCAGCCATGCTCTTTGTGACAGACGGTGTGAGTAGCCGGACATCGCCCCTGCCTCACTTTAATTGTCTCTGAAACATGTTTGCCTGTGTTACCTCCCAATGGGGAGGAACATCTAATTGGTTCAAATAAAAATGGTTTGGAATGTTTCCTGATATTAACGAGAACTTTTCATATCCTGCCCTCGGTATCTGCAGCGTCCTTAACACATCCTCCAAATGGGCAGCATGGGCAGCATGGGCAGCATGTTGCAGTCTCACCTTTAGTCTCGCAGTCTTGGAAGGAGGAAGCTCCTTCATGTTTTGTCATCAGTCCTCCCCCGCATCGGAAACACAGCGTGCGGCCAGCCTCCGCCTGGTATGTTCCTCGACTACAGAGATTGCAGGGCTTAAAGCCATCCAATGAATACTGCCCCGGGCTGCATTGACCTGCACCAGCAAAAACAGCAAGAGCTGAGCAAGGGAATGAGCGAGCAAACCAACAAACAGTCATGAATCAATCAAAACCGTCTGGGAGGCAACGTTTCGTGACTGAACACTGATGGCGCCACATGGTGACCTTTCAGTTCGGGGATTTGGTTTGGTGGATTGCCATCTTGATCACCTGGAATGGAAAGCTTCCCGGTGCGTCCCCGAGTGTCACTTATTTAGTCAACACCAAGCGGCAAGGCTGCCATGATGGAATTCTTGTGGATTTGTGGGACTTTTGTTTACTCAGTGGGTTTCCTGATAAAGAAACCAGAAGCGCCTCACACAATGGTACTCCAACGCTGTCTACTCTTCAAGCGTTAATGGAGAGAGTCTACCATAGTCAGGGACTTGTTAACAAGAACAGTTAACAACATCAACAACTTGGATTTATATAGTGCCCTCCACGCTGGACGGTGTCTCAAGAGCGCTTCACAGTAACGAATCCCGGGGCTGAGCCAGGGGGAGGGGGAGGAAGGTGACCAAAGGTGTGGTCGAAAAGAAAGGTCTTCAGCCGAGATCTGAAAATAGGAAGAGAGGGGCCGAGGCAAAGGAGTGAGGAAGGGAGTTCCAGAGCCTCAGGGCATAGTGGCTGAAGGCACGGCCACCGAGGGTGGAGCAGAGGACTTGGGGGACGAGGAGCAGACCAGACCCCAAGGAACGAAGGCAACGGGTACTGTTTTGAGGAGAGAGGTCAGAGAGGTCGGGGAGTGCAGAGGAGTGCAGGGATGTGAATACAAGGGTGAGGATCTTGAAGTCGATTCTCTCTGGGATAGGCAGTCAGAGCAGTCTGGCAAGGACTGGGGTGATCAGGGAGTGGAATTTTGTGTGGGTGAGAATGCGGGCGGCAGAGTTTTGAATGATCTGGATTTTATGAATGGTAGTGGATGGGAGACCAGCGAGGAGGGCGTGAGAATAGTCCAGCCGAGAGGTGACAAAGGCATAGACTAGGGTTTCAGCGGCTTTTGGAGAGCGTTATTGGCGGAGACCGGCAATGCGTCTGAGGTGGAAGGAAGCGGTGCTGGTGAGGGACCAGATGTGGGGGAGGAAGGATAATTGGGGGTTGAACCTGACGCCTAGGTTGCCTATGGGTTCGGAGAGATTTAGGGGGAGGTCGGGTAGGTGGAGGAGGTGAGAGCTGTGAGATTTTAGACGTTGACGAAAGCCAAAGACTACGGCTTCCGTCTTGTCAACGTTCAGCTGAAGGAAATTTGCGCTCATCCAGCCCAAGATCTGACAGGCAGTTGACAGAACATCAGGGGACTGGGGGTCGCAAAGAGAGGTGGAAAAATAGAGTTGGGTGTCGTCCGCGTACATTTGGAAATGTACCCCATGTCTGCGGATGACATCCCCAAGAGGGAGCATGTAGATCAGAAAGAGGAGGGGGTCAAGGATGGATCCTTGGGGGACCCCACAGGTAACCGGGTGAGAGCGGGAGGAGAAGCCATTGGTGCAGATGTACTGCTGGCGGTTTGTAAGGTAGGACTCGAACCAGGCGAGTGCGGTCCCACTGAGGGTGGATGACGGAGGAAAGGTGGTGGAGGAGGATGGAGTGATTGAGTGTGTTGAACGCCGGGGAGAGGTCCAGGAGGACAAGGAGGCAGAGGGAGCCCTGGTCACAGATAGAGAGGATGTCATTTGTGACTTTCACAAGCGCAGTCTCTGTACTGTGGGCAGGGTGGAAACTGGACTGGAGGGGTTCGAAGAGGGAGTTAAAAAGAGAAGGGAGTTTCTTCCTGATGTCCTGGCAAACAATCCCCCAAATAAAATTGGTCACTCACTTCATGGCTGTTTGTGGGACATTGCTGTGAGCAATTTTGCTGCCGCGTTTTGCCCACAGTAAATTCTGTGAAGCGCTTTGAAACGTCCTTCCAACGTGATAAGGCACTGTACCAAATGTAAGGATTATTGATATTATGATATAAAATCCTGACGTAAGATTTTATCCAGCTGTGGCCGCTCGGTTTCGCCCAGATGATTACTTAGGTGAAGAACGATTGGCCCCGGCTTGGCTGACTTACCTGTACATACGGTGATGTTGCGTGCTCCAACTGGACCGTGGCTATCACTTCCGGGGCAGGGATCACACGACAGCTGCCCTTCCTGCTCCTGGAAGGTGCCCCCCGGGCAGGCCACGCACCTCTCCTGCTGCCCATGGTAGTACGACCCTGGAGAGCAGCTGACTAAGAGAGACCACAGGCCGGTGAGAGACCTTCAACATTCCTCGTCCAGCTCCCTGCACACACACTGTCCTTACGCTGTCCTTGCCCCCAAAGTTAATTAAAAATGTTCTTTTTTTTATTGTTTGAAACCATTTACTAAGAAGGACAGGGTTAGCCTCAACCCCACACTCCCCTTCAATGCGGTGCTTCAGGAGGTTGTGGGTTCAAGCCCCATGCCGGGACTTGGAATCACATTGTCTAAGCTGACAATCCAATGCAAAGGTGTGTTGCATTGTCGGAGGTGCCGTTCTTCGGAGGAGATGTTAAAATGAGGTCCCGTCTGCCTGTTCAGGTTGATGTTAAAGATCCTATGGCACTGTTCAAAAAGAGAAGGGAGTTTTTCTCTCCCGGTGTCCTGATCAACAATCCCCCAATTAAATTGGTCACTCACTCCATGGTTGTTTGAAGCTCATTGCTGTGCCCAAACTGGCTGCTGTGTTGTGCCTGAGTGTGGCAGTGGCGTTAATTCCAGGGAATGTGTGCTTAGAGCCTTGTTGTGTGAATGCCATTGATACTATCAGTCATCAGACGGCTACTGTAAGCAGGCCATGTCCTACACATGTGCCAGTGATGGTCCTAACTCTAGAACAACGCCTACGAGATGCTTACCACATTGGCTCTCCAGACGCTCCTGTCCAATGTTGCACACTTGCTGCTTCTCGGGGGCTTTGGCCAGTTTCTTGGCCACCTCGTACTCCATGCCGGAGAAGCGGATGTGAAACCGCTGCTGGTTGATGGATTTCTTCAGAGTTTTTATTGCCGATTTCAGCTTCTTCTCCATCTTCTGCCTCACGCAGTTAATGTTGCAGCTCCCTGCAAACAACAATGGCAACTTGCATTTGTATTGCACCTCTCACGCAGGGTAGCGTCCCAGAGCGTAGTGGTTAGAGCACTCGCCTCACAAGCGAGAGGACCTAGGTTTCAATTCCTGGGCAGAGCGGAACATTGGGCAAGTTTCCTTACTCCACAGGCCTCTGCTTACATAGCACTAAGTAGGAATCTGACTGTTAGTCAATTGGCAGATCGCTTTCCAGGATAATAATCCCACCCAAAAAAATTGACTGCTACATTTCATCCTTAAATGACAAAGACAATTCACTTTACAGTATATTCTATGAAGCGCATTGAGATGTCTCAACGATGTGATTTGATATTTCAAATGCAACAATTATTATTATAATAATAATGACAACAACAAATTACATTTGTATAGCACCTTGCACGTTGGCAGGACATCCCAAGCGCTAATAGACAGGGTGGGGCTATGTGGAGGCAAGGCCTGAACAGGGTGTGGCCTGGGTGGTATAGGACCTGCTCAGAGAAGCCCCCAGACTCACCCGTTATATCTTCTTTCCTGATCTCAGCTTCAAAGTCCAGCGTGATGCGGGTGACCTCTTTGACCGGGGAGTTACGAGCTCGGCGTCCTTTCGCTTTCTTGGAAGAGTCACATTTGAGGTTCACGAAGGTGACCTGGCAGTTGTCTGTACAGGGAAAGGGGCCACCTACACAGGCAATGAGACACGAGGGACCATTAACACCAGCGAGGAGCAGAGAGGTTCAGCATGACAGCAAATGCAAGGCATAAAAAGTGATCTTAAAACTAAAGGAACCACGTGGGGCCAGTTCCCTCTCTCTCCAGGTGTAAGTGCACAGATTGGTATTTGTCCAGCGAGCACCATGCTCCGTGCTGGAACCTGGGGGTAAATTACTCCCTATTCTGTCATATATCTGAGCCATAATTCATAGTCAGATTTTGCATGGCCAGTACAATTAAAACTGCCCAATTCATATTCTACACACTTAAAATTAAAATCCGCTTTTAAACTTTTTGCACTCAGATGGAAAATTGAAACCGGCCGTAGCTCCTGGGGACTATAAGGACACATCTACAGGCTGTGAAACGAGATCCCAGGCAGCGTTTGAAAGCTGTGGATCCTCGGAGCTTGCTGCACAAGACAACTGATGACCTGGACAGCATTTCCCTGACTGACTGTACACGCCCCCATCCAGTACACTTTACAGTAAATCCTGTGATGCTCTTTTATATTTTTCGTGTGGGTTAGACAGCTGTGTGTCTGACACCTGCGGGAAACCCACCATTGTGCTTAAGAGTATCCAAACCATACTGATAATTCCATGCATCCCACCTACACATGGAAAAGCCAGCCTGGCTCACCTGCAGCACTCAGAATGATGGAACAGTCACCAGAGGCAGGGAATTCTCTCACTCAGCTCCTGTTAACCCTGCAAGCCTAGCTGGACAAACAGTGGGAAAACTTGCCAGACAGCGCTCTCAATGCGGTTTTAGCTGGTTAGATGCCAGCGCTTCCCGCATCGCACACTCTGGGGTCACCAAGCCTCGGCTCTTGCCAACCTGCATCTAATACTTTTTGGAATTAGGTAAACAAGATGTGTCGCTCCAGGGACAGAGAGCACACTCCATTCCAACAATCTATCTCTGGGATTTCCATGTGTAAGTGGGATGCATGGAAATCTCAGCTTGGTTTGGATACTCCTATGCATGGTGATGGGTTTCTGCATGATACACACCCGGCTGAACAAAAAAAAAGGTTTACTCTATGCCGATTGCTAAAACAGCAGCAACGACAATGGGAATTCCCAATACAAAGGCGTAGCAGAAAGCTGGCAGTGTGTGGGTTGCAGTGTAGCACAGCAGCCCACCCTCCCTGTGTACCTGCGATAAGCTGGCGCCCGCTCTCCTGCTTTCCCTTCACGCGGGGATGAAGGTGACACTTGGCGTCTTTAATCTTAAAGGAAGCTCTCTGTTTGACTGGAGGACCTAAAGTCTCTAAAAGAAAACAAGAACGTTTAAAAACATCTTAAAGGTGCCTGGAGTCTCCGGGGTCATCAGGTTGAAGAGGTAGAATTTGAGGTGGGGCTTTGACGGGGGTGGGGGGCCGGAGGCGATATGGAGTGAGAAAGGGGTGGGGGGGGGGAAGTTCCAGAGATTCAGGGTGCAGAGAGGGTGAGGTGCTTGAGTTAGCTCAGCGGAGGGCTGAGGGGAATAAAAGTACAACAACTAATAACAACAACAACAAATTGCCTTTATACAGCATCTTCCACATCGGGCGGATATCCCGAGGTGTTGGACAATGAAGGGTTCGCTCTCGAGCTAAGGACTGGAGTCAAGAGGTGTGGAAGGCAAGGGGGGTGGGGGAGGGAAGATGACCGAAGGCACAGTCGAAGAGTAAGCTTAAGATGGATCTTGAAGGAGGCAAGAGAGGGGGTGAGGTGAAGGAGCTCTGGGATGGAGTTCCAGAAGGTGAGGCCAGAAAGTCTGAAGGCCTGACCTCTGATAGTGAAGCGGGCAAGGCAGGGGACGTGGAGCAGGTCAGTGCCCGCCGAACGGAGGGAGCGGACAAGTTGGTAATGTAGGAAGAAGGAGATATAAGAGATATAGAGGTGCCAAGGACGTCCCAACCTGCCTATTGTGAACGTCTTCTCTGCGATGACTCACCTCCACAGCCCTGCACGCTTGTGTTCTGTCGTTGCTGCCCAGCAGGCCTGCGGCCGGGAGCTCCACAGCTCACAGTGTAGCTGTTATCAGAGCCTGGTGGGAGAGAGAGAGGATTGATACAGCACGACCTGCGCCACAACCCAGTCTGTACTTGTAGATTCCCTGCGACACTCGCTCACAGTCAGATAAAAACCCCTGAGCACAGTTGTGCACAGGATTCCAGGGACCGGCTGGACAAAGGAACATAGGAGTCGGTCTTTCAGCCCCTTGAGTCTGTTCCGCCATTCTATCAGATCATGGCTGATCTGTACCTGAACTACATTTACCAGCCTTTGCCCCAAGCCCTTGATACCCTGACCTAACAAAAATCTATCCACCGAGAACCCGTCTGCTTGTTCAGGCGTATGTTAAAGATCCCACGGCACTGTTCAAAAAGAGAAGGGAGTTTTTCTCTCCCGGCATCCTGGCCAATAATCCGCCAAATAAAATTGGGTCACTCACTTCATGGCTATTTGTGATACATTGCTGTGTGCAAATTGGCAGCCGCATTTCGCCCACAAAAATACAGAGTCAAAACCACATTACAGTATATCCTATGAAGGGCTGTATTATTATTATTATTGCCCCCTTCTTCCCTATCTTCAGGTCAAGCCTGAAGATCTTTTTCAACTGTACCGTCATCTCCCCTCCTCCCAGCTCACAGTCAGCCTGTTAAACACTCTTGAGACTCTAACCCCGTTAAGGGCACTATATAAATGCAAGTTGTTTTCAAAATAATAATCCTTGCACTTGATATTGCACTTAATTATGTCGTTGAGACGTCTCAAAGCGCTTCACAGAATATACAGTAAATTGAATTGACTATATATCTTTGTGGGTGTCGGCAGCCAATTGCAGTCTTGGATTGAGTGAGCAAATTATCATCATTATGTTTTTTTGGAAGGCATTATTACCCCCGGAAAAACGATCTGCCAATCGACTAACAATTGCGTTCCTACTTTGTGCTGATAAACAAGTGTGTGTGTGGAGTAATGAAACTTGCCTAAGGTTTGTTCCCCACCCCCCTCCACCCTTCCCCCTTGGAAATTAAACCTGGATCGCTTGTGCGGCGAGAGCGCTAGCCACTACACTACAGGACAAGCTGCTGTTGTTGTGTTAGTGCCTACCTGCCTGGAAGTGGGCCCTGGCCGAGCAGCTGAGGGCACAGGTCTCCCTCTTGCCGCTGCGGCTACAGGAGAGCTGCGCTCGGGGGGAAGCTGAGCCGGGGAGACACTTTGCCATCTCTGAAAATCAAAGGGAAAGGTGTCAATTATCATCACAAGCAGAGACAGCAGCAGCTGCAAACTCAACCCACCGCTGAACACCAGCCCACAGAATCATGTCAATTTGTGGGTCAGCATTCTCTTGAATTCCACCCCCTCCCCATTGTCTCCCCACTACATGTGCTGATTCTCTTCAACCCCGATCAGGGTGATTTACAGCGTGGAATGGTGAACGTCTTTTACCAATTTCAAATGTCAAATTATAATTTCACTCAGACACCCGACTTGTCCTTGTGGAGGGAACGTGTGTCTCACAGAGACCTCTGAAGTTTTTGTTGTTTTCAGTGATGGAAGTGTGATTGACTTGAGTGTGGAGACGACAAGACAAGACGGGATAAGATCAGGGCCTACACAACGTCATCCTATGAACAAACTCGGTGATTCCTGTCAATAATCAAAAGATTTCAGAGGTTAAATGGCAATGGAAAACCCGAGGTGAGCCAAGCGGTGTTTGAGGTGCTATGTGTATTACTGCCACTTGAGGGTGTATTTGTCACATACCCACACAGTCCTTTTTGTTCCAGTGCAGTTTGTAGCCACCAGGAGGACAGGAGCATTGGTAGTTTCCCAGAGTATTGACACAGCCATACTTACAGCCTCCGTGATTCATGCTGCACTCATCGATATCTGACAGAGAGAGTCACAGAGAAAACACATCGCCATCACTGAACAGTATTCACCTTCGCCTTCAAAAGGTGTTACACATACAAAGACACGTAGCATAATAATAATAACAATAATAATCCCTGCATTTGATACAGCACCTGATCACATCTTCGAGACGTCTCAAAGTCCTTCACAGAATATACTGTAAAGTGAATTGACTGTATATTTTGTGGGCGAAACATGGCAGTTAATTGGGACCCACAAACAGTTGTGGATTAAGTGACCAAATTATTATTATTTTTTNGAAGGAATTATTATCCCTGGAAAAGCGATCCGCCAATTGACTAACAACTGGGTTCCTACTTACTGCTGGGTAATCAGAGGCGTGTGGAGTAAGGAAACTGCCCAATGTTTCCTCCTACTTGGGAATCAAACCCAGGTCCTCGCGCTTGCAAGGCGTGTGTTCTAACCAATAAACTACACGACTCCACTGAGACTTTCACTCTTATTGACAAATAATTTGCATTTTTTAATTTGTAATAAGGCCTTTCACATCAAGAGGAGGTCTCAAAGCGCTTCACATAATTTATTGTAAACTATAGTAACTGTGTTTCGTAGGCGAACATGGCAGCCAAGTTACGGACAGCGTATGGTGTGGGTGGTCAGTGTGTGGTGTGGATGGTCAGTGTGTGGTGTTGATAGTCAGTGTGTGGTGTGGATGGTCGGTGTGTGGATGAACAGAGACATGATTATCAAAGTCTCCTCTGGGCCAGAACGTCTCTCTGTCAGTCGGTGTGTTCGCTCGGTGTTGCTGATGTGCCTTTCACTGCAAGAAACAAATTCTCTGCCAAATCCATTGTGTTTTTAAAAAAAAGCAGAAGTTAAATCCCGACTAAATGAGACGGGTTAATAGGCTCCTAATGACAGCCTTCATTTCATTAGTTACCAGTGATTAAAGCCTGAACAGCAAAAGAAAAGTAATCCAACTTGGAAATTAAACGGGGCAGAGGAAGCGGTTTTGGAATGGGGTCACTGGCACAACCTGTTGTTCATAACCACATTGTGTAATTAAAATGAAAATATTGTGCAGATGGGGTTTTGGGAATGCAGCGCCAGGTATGGTTTATTGAGTCTGCACAGTAATAACACCAGGTTTATGTTACAATTAGAAACAAGAACAGCCTCTCTCAGCAAAACCCTGGTTACAGCTGCCAGGCCGAACGGACCAGAACATGGCCTTCCACCCACACAAGCAGGTAGACGGGCTCGCTACACGCAGTGCTGAACCAACAGTGTCACATCACAGAAACCTGACCAACTCGCTCACATGTTACTCTTCAGATGGGGTGATGGACGGGCAAGACAGACGACCCAGGCGTGCTGTGAACAAACTAGGATGTAGGGTGTGTGTAGGGTGTGTTTGTGTGTGTAGGGAGTGTGTGTGTACACGTGTGTAGGGTGTGTGCGTGTCCAATATGTGTAGGGAGTGTGTATGCACATGTGTGGTGGTGGTATAATGAACAATATGACTCAGTGAATGTGTTATCTGTACAAACCATCACTGAAAGGCTATTTTCCCCCAGATTGTGGGCAGTGATGCCAGCAGGCATGGGCTCAGGTATCATCAATCACCCAACAGATTATCCCAAAGCCCTGAGCGCTGGTAGCTTTGTGCCGAGCTGCTCTGTAAACAGAGATGGACCCTCAGTTACAGTGCCAGCGATCTGAGGGAGATTGTTCAGCAACGCTGATGGCTTCTCCTGATAACAGGGCAGATCAGTGATGAGCTCGTGCCGATCACTTCAAAGAGATTCCATTGGCTTTTTACCATTTACACACAGCAGCCAGTACCCAAACATACTGACCTGAAACACCCCCATCTCTACCTGGGACATAATTTTCTCTAAATTATACAGAATTACACACAACCTACACATGCAAACAGGGAATTTTCATATCTCCACATAAAAGTGGATCCAGTTGGTGAGTGGAATCTATTCATTTCAGGAATATTTGTTTTGTTTTCACTGCCTGTGGCTACAGATATGCAGTCACTACACTACACAGTAATTACCTGTGAAGCACTTGGCGATGTGACTATAATGAATGCAAGGGCGACTGATATTCAAGTACTTTGAGATTTTCATCCTTCACATTAAGTTCCTCGGGATCGTCCCGTAATTTGTTGTTTGTTGTAAGTGTTGTTGAAATGATCTTCAGACTTTGAAGGGTTCTAAGTAGGAACCGCAGTGGTAGGGCTGAGCTCCAGAACCAGGATATTTTATACTTTATTTCAGGAACTATCAAAAGCCTGTCCTTGCTTTAATGTGCGTTACTGTGCTGAATGGGTATTTTGATCTAAGTTCAAATTTCCTCCAGCAGCTTTTTTGGGGAAAGTCTCATCTTATCTGCAAACCGCCCTGAAACACAGCTCCTTGTGTGTCAAGCTTCTCCGTGGCCAGTGACGAGAACTTCCATTTGCAAGTCTCTAACAAGTCTCACCTCAGCATTTGAAGTGGTTTCCCCCAAATGAATGTTTTAATGTCAATACCACACATACCAGACATTGCACGAGTTATGGAAACCGCTGATCCCATGTTAAAGAACAAATTTAATTATTGCACTGATGGAAATGTAAACGAGCTCAAAGGTTACAGAGGGAGAAGAGGAGGAAGGGAGAGAGAACAAGGGGGGACAGGAGGAGAGAGAGGTGAGGAGCGGGTGGGGGGAGATACTAGGGAAATGTTGGGGGCAGAGGATGTTTCCTCTCCTTCCTCAAGCCACACCTCAGTTCCACGCAGTGTCAGGTTAATACTAATAATAATCCTTGTGTTTGATGTAGCGTCTTTGCGACGTCTCAAAGCGCTTCACAGAATATACTGTAAAGTGAATTGCCTGTATGTTTTGTGGGCGAAACACGTGTTGTCCACCTACCTCCGCAGTGGGTCAGGCCGTACAATGTGTAGCCCTTGTGGCAGAAACACTCGAAGCTTCCCGGGGAGTTCACACACATGTGATCACATGTTCTGTCAAAGGAGCACTCGTCAATGTCTGGAGACAGAAAGAGAAAAGGAGTCAATAGACGTCACAGAGTAAAAGGATCCAGTGGATACCAGCCTGCCACACAGGGCAGTCATACCAGCAACATCGCACGGGTTACACAATAGGGCAACATCAGCCCACTCTACATATCTCGGGAAGACCCTCAATATGTGCAGCTGCTTGTAATGGGTCAACTTCCAGATTCTCACCCTCCCATACAAATGTCTCACCTCCCCATCTCTTTTATCTCCTTGTACCTCACTCCTCTGGTCGCCCCCTTCGCTCAGCGAACACAGGCCTGGTGTGTGTCCTCTGCTCTCTCTATGCCAGAATCACTAGCCAGGTCTTCAGTCATTAGACCCCTAGCCTATGGAGCTCTCTTCCTCTATTCTTTTGCCTCGCCCCCTCTCTAATTATCTTCAAATCCCACATTCGACTGTTCTTACGATCACCTCCCCGCTCCCCTTCCTCCTAGCTTGACATCCAATCCCGCCACTGTGTAAGCTTCGAGTCATTTTCCAATGTTGCAGGCCGCTACATAAATGCTGATTGTAATACATATACTGTTATCAAGAGCTGAGAATGCACATTAACAGCCAAAACACGCAAATGCTGTTCAGTGGCCATTTGCATATTTACATTTATAAACTGATGCTCTTCAACCACAACAACTTGCATTTATATAGTGCCCCTCATGCAGGGTAGCGTCCCAGTGTGCTTGAGGCAATGGCTGGGGCAGTGTGTGGTGGTGTCCTGTAACCCAGGTTTCATCACTGCCACAGGCTGGTGACATACTGTCTGTGCAATACACTCTCCACACCAGCCAGAGAATCACAGCTCAAAAAGCAGCCTTTAGGTGGTTAATCTTACTCAGAATTCATTCAGCGCCTCTCAAATTGAGAAGATGTCCTGGCTAGTCACGCCAGCTGAGGGTGGGAGCTGGAAAACAGTGTGTGAAACAGGAGAAACTACCAACATACAACAAGAATATTCACAGCACAGAAGCTAATCAGGGAAATCAGTCAGTGAGACCTGGCGGAGCTGTGTGGTTGGGGTTAGGGGTTAGCAGATCAGCCTTTATCCTGCACCCGATGTTCTCAGTCCGTGTTGAATGGCAGAAACCTGGTTTGAGGTAAGCAACTTTGAAGCTTCACTTATTGAACCCGCTTTGAGGAAGTGATTTCACCAGGAAATTGAGTGCTGATTAATGTCGGGGAACTTGCTGTGTAACAACATGAAACACCTCCTGCCCAATGGGATTTCAGAGCTTGCTTCCCAATTCGTATACCTTTTCCAGGGTAGAACATGGAATATGGAATTGCTTCTAGATGCGCAAAGGGCAGAACCCTGGCTCCTACGTGACACTCCTTGGCCATGGATACCCTCCCCCAATGAGGACTTTTTCACTAAGGAATAATCTCTAGGATCAGTTAGTTGTCCATGTGCATTTGGTGCATGCAGCCAGGGCCAGAGACAGTAAACCTTGCCAGCACCCATCTCTGGGAGGAGTGCTCCCAATGGTTACCTATCTTCAGAATGACATCTTGAGATGAAGTGATAAGAAGCCCTCTCTAGTTTTAATAGAGCACAAAATGTTCTCTGTCAATGAGCAGTTACTCATATTACAATGGGGCACTGGCTCTCATTGAATACATATGTTCTCTTATATAAGAGGATTTTGCAGTAAGAGGGCACTGGCCATGGATGTTAATGGGAAGCATGCTGAGATCAGACAGAGTTGTTTAATGTGATACTGTCATTACATCCCCACCAAGCTTTATGTGGAATGAATAAATCATTTCCCAAAGTTTTTTTTAATAAACATGGGTTGTACTTGAGACTTTGATACAATTTAGAACAAATCTCTTGCTTCCTCACGAGTGGAGCAGAACGTTTAATTGCAAGCCAACAAACCACAAATACGCTTAGCCCGCTGTGAGAATCTGCCTGCACCGCCATGAGAGTAGACACGACTTTCCTTTAATCGAGACCCTGGATGAAGAACAACTGAGCAGGACAGCTCCAGGTCAGACAGAGGAGCAGAGAAAGGAAAGCCAATAGTTTGAGATTAGATGATGGCAGGGACGATCTTTTAAAATGTGTTAAGAGAACTATCAGCGATGGCAGGAGAGCAGGTGAAGAGGTCTGCCTTGTGTTGGGTTTTATGTTGTGTAGTGTGAGGTTGGGTTGGAGAGCAGTGAGTTGGGTTGGGAAGCAATGGGTTAGATTAGGTTGGATTGGGGAGCATTTTGTTACGCTGGTTACAAAGAGGCATTTGTAGAGAGCTGGTGGTTGCAACATTTCTTAAGGGAACCGTTGACAGAGGCCTGGGAGCAGAAAGGTGATCTGTAATGGGTGGTAGATATTATTTCACACCACTTCTTTTCAGATATACCACATGCATGTTTCGGAGTCCCTTTTTCTACTCCCCACACCCGTTTCCATGTCAATCATCCTCAATCCAGCCCTTTCCTCTGGCTCCTCTTCCCTCTCTGTTACCGTTGTTGGGTGGACTAGAGAAAGCCAAGGCAAGCTGGTTATCTAACATGGATAATTTCTTCCTCCTGCTCCATATTTAGCTCTTTGCTTTAATCACTGAATATCAACTGCATTAAAGGGAGTGATTTGAAAGAGTTGCTGATGGGGTGAGGAGGCTTCTCCTCCTGCCCCCACAATGTTACAAGTGGCATCCTCAGGGCACTATCCTCGATCGTCTCCTCTTTAAACATTTACATGCTCCTGCTCGGTGATAATATAATAATAATCCTTGCATTTGACATAGCCCCTTATCACGGTTTGCGAGACTTCTCAAAACGCTTCACAGAATATACTGTAAGGTGAATTGACTGTATATTTTGTGGGCGAAACGCGGCAGCAAATTGCGTACAGCAGCGTCCCACAAACAGTTGGGGATTGAAGTGACCCAAAAAATAAAAAATGGGTCACTTCAATCCCCAATTAAACTGAGGTCCCGTCTGCCTCTTTAGGTGGATGACACTAAAGGGAAGGGAGTTTCTCTCTCTCTCGGGGGCCTGGCCAACAATCCCCCAAATAAAATTGGTCAACTCACTCGATGGTTGTTTCTGAGACATTGCTGTGTACAAACTAGCTGCCACGTTTCACCCACAAAATACTCAGTCACTACACTTCACAATATATCCTGTGAAAATTCAAGGATTATTATTATTACTAGAAGTACCCACATGCTGCTATAGGACATTTTGACATAAGGTATTTTAAGGCTAACAGCAAGACATCACAGCTGAAGCACAAACAACCTGAAACGCAGAGAAAAGAACTTAGAGAACAACACGTTTCATCAAACAGCAGGTTACCTGAAACACAAGGACGAAAATAACTTTGCAGCTCGTGGGTGCCCAGCTGTGAGTCCATGATTCAGTGCTTTACTGAGAAGGAAACTCTATCTGAACTATATCAGTAGACAGAGTAGAGGCTGCAGCACAGAGATACATTTTGACTGATTACAAGTGGAGATAATGGGTTGGTCTCTCCAAGCCTGTACATCACCCATCTTCCATATCAGCACTTACCGTCAAAAACAAACAATTCTGGGACACAGATATGGAATGTGTGGAATCTGACATCAATCAGCACACTGTCAGGCAACGTATTAGATACAAGACCAGATATTGGTTACCTGCTTATGAAAAAGTAACCATTTCGTCCCCTGAAAGACTCCCTTGAGGCTAAACCCGAGATGGGAAATATATTATATATAAAATAAAATCAGAATTCGTTGGGAACACTCAGCAAATATATTCTCGTTTTTATGGCAGAATTATTTCCCTGTATTGTGCACTATGTGTCAGGAAGGGAGACTCGATCTTCAGGTGTTGAGAGGTTAGAAAGCAGATTCTTTCCGCTCTTTGGTGACTCCATAACAAGGGGCATAAAATCACTTCAGGGACAGTGATTATCATGGAAAGGGTTATAATAAATAAATAATAATCCTTGTATTCGATATAACTTCCACGTCAGGTGTTCATCTCAAAGCATCTCTCAGAGTTTACTATAAAGTGTAGTGACCGTGCATTTGTAGGTGAACAGGGAAGCAGATTTGTGAACAGCAATGTCCCACAAACAGCCACAAAGTGAATGATCTGTGGTCGGGGGTGGGTGGGTGGGGGGTTTGGTGGTGTCTGTCAGGACACCGGGAGAAACTTCTCTTTAGAATAGTGCCACAGGATCTTTAAAATTCACCTGGACGGGCACAGACAGGACCTCGGTTTAATATTTCATCTGAAGGATAGCCAAGTTATTAGTACACAGAGTGCTTTGTGAGACATTAAACCTTTAAGGAGGAATTGGACAACTATCTGAAGAGAAATAGTTACGGCAACGGGGTGCGAGCAGTGAGTCAAGCCTGCAGTGAAAGCTCCAGCGGAGGAGTTTACATAAGCTCACCCGCTTTGCTCGCTTGAACGGCCTGTGACTTCGCAATATTTTATCATCGTCTAATCCTCCAGGGATCTCAGCTGCACTTCAAGAGAAATTGGGGTCTGGGTGGGAAAGCTGGGAGCTGGGCTCCGGCAGCACGGCAGTGGCCTTGGAAACCGAGTTCCCTCTCCCTCACCTGGGGCACAATTGTAACCCCAGCTGAGAATAGCCAAACTGACACGGACTGGACTGGAATCTGTGACCCACTGAGCTTGATGGCCAAGACCTGTCACCAGACGAAGAGATGGAGGGTGCCATTGGGAGAATTGGGGCAGCGCTAACTACAGGATAGGGCAATCCCCCCCACCCACCTGTTGGTAACTTCAGCATTTGCGGCTCCCACTCCCCCCATTGTGTTCTCACAAACACAGGGGGAGGACACAGAACCTTGAAGTAGCCCGCATCACACCCAGACTGCACTCACCCACAAAATTTATCTACCACGCGTGTGACTTCATGTTTTTGTGCCTAATCAAAACAAAGCTGGTTCCAAATCATTTAACACATCAACAGAGCTCCTCACTGCTCGTCCCCGCTCCCCCTCCCGCGATAATCTTCCCCATTCCCGGCAGCGAGCAGTCACAGGGCAGCCAGACTGCCTACGTGACTGAAGGCCTGTATAGATCACAGACTGGGCTGATCTGATGGGAGCTAAGATGTGATAAGATTAAACTGTTACTGCATAAAAATAAGATGAAGAATGTGTTCTGCCGCCCAGCACTCGGCTTGCGTGGAACAAGAAAGGATTTTGTTCTCTCGCCAAGAAATGTACCGTCACCTGTGCCAGTGGGTTTCACCAGCCGCCCAGACAGTGAACTCTTGAGGACATAACTCTTTCATTTGATATAATGCCATATCACGTCGTTGAGACGTCTCAAAGCGCTGTAGAGTTAATTGACTGTATATTTTGTGGGCGAAACGCGGCAGCCAATTGCACACAGCAGTGTCCCACAAACACTTGTGGATTGAAATGACCGCATTTTTTTTTGAGGGATTGATTCCCCCCGGAAAGCGATCTGCCAATTGACTAACAACCATGTTCCTACTTACTACTAGGTAAACAGAGGTATGTGAAGTAAGGAAACTTGCGTAAGGTTTCCCCCCGCCTGGGAATCAAACCCGGGTCCTCTCACTTTCAAAGATGTGCCGATTCCATACCCACATAGCAAAGTGAACACCCCACATCCACTCCGTACAGAGAGGTGCAGTTTGCGATGACACCCGAGTCAGAATTGTTCTGAGGTTCCGGGTTTGTGTGGTCTCCACTCTCCTTAGGTTTGCTAATCCTTACATTTGATATAGGGCTTTATCACATCTTCAAGACATCTCAAAGTTCTTCACAAGACTTACTGTAAAGTGTAGTGACTATGCTTTTCTAGACAAATGCGACAACCAATTTGCTCACAGCAATATCCCTCAAACTGCCATAAAGTGAATGATTGATTTTATTTGGGAGATTTATTGGCCAATACCCCAGGAGAAACTGACTTCTCTTTTCCAATAGCGCCTTTAATGTCAATGTGAACAGGAAGACGGGATCTTGTTTAATGATCATCGGAAGGACACCTCTGACAATACAACACACCCCATTCAATCAAGCCATCTCGGCCATCTTCCTCCTCCACCCTCCTTGCCCTCCCCCCTGATCCCAACTCACAGCTTAGGCCAAACAGCTCATTATTCAGTGCCTTGAGACGTCCTCCTGATGGAACAGCCATTATATAAATGCAATTTTTTATTGTTGGGAAGGATGTGAAGGGGCTGCATAAATGCAAGTTATTATTGTAAATCACAGAGGAGAAAAGAGTGAAATAAAAAAGAAAGAGATAGAACAGAGAGACAGGGGTAATGAATTTATGGAAAATCGTGCTGGTGCTAATACAATACTCCCTGTCCCAGGAGACATTGCAATGACATGTCAGGGGAAGTTCGGAATGAATTATTAGGTATGGCTTTTGGGCGCAAAGCCAATGGTGGGGTATTTGAACGGGAGACAGAGAGCACAGGAAGGATATCAGAGAGTGCGGAGAAAGGCCAGGAATTACTTTTTGGAGGAGTAAAGACTGACACTCGTGGGATGGGCTCCTCTTGGGACCTAGATGTCTATGGTTCTACAATCTGCAGATTGAGTTCTTGGAAGCCCTTGACCTTGAGATCTGAGGAGTGTTTAGATTAGTTTACAAGATTTTGAATTTCAGTATGTCTTACTATTTCAAACAGGGCCATATTGGATATTGTTTGTGTCTGAAATGAATGCTCTCCAGCTGACGACTTTAACAATCAGCTGGTGCGACCTGCAGACAGTGCCGTTCAAAGAGCTGCGATCCACCAGGTGATTGCGTTATCCTGAAAATCCATCACAGAAGATCTTGGTGACTTGTCCAAGTTTGAATCTTCGAGGTTTGAACATGGGCCAAGTGGCACGGTCCCACACGCTATAATGCAGGCAAATACACTGCCTGTTTACGGTTCTCGCTGGGACAATTTGTCCCACTATCAGTCTCTGCTCCTCCAACAAAGTCATCTTAAGTGCTTTGAGATGTCTAGAAGACGTGAAAAGCGCTATATCAAATGCCTGGATTATTATTATTATATTATTATCTTCCCAAATCCCAGTCTTTCCCTGTCCTCTCCAATACCCTCCCCGTGCTTACCCAACTCCTTACTGTCTCAAAGTGTATTCGCCCACAAATATACAGTCAATTCACTTTACAGTATATTCTGTGAAGTGCTTTGGGACGTCTAGAAGACGTAAAAAGCGCTATATCAAATGCAAGGATTATTATTATTATAAAAAAAGTGATTTATTGGGAATAAACATAGCGCATCGGGCTGGCTGGCTTCCACACAATAACTCAAACTTTCTTCAAACGTGTTGTCTCTCTTTGTGTTCCAATTGTTGACCTGATGGTGTAGAGACAGGGTTCAGCCCCCCACTTCCCAGCAGAGAAGGACACATTTGCAATAAGGGCGATTGGCACTACATGCCTGGCTCAGTCAGTCGCCTCTGGGTCAGGTCAGAAGATTGTGGATTCAAGCCCCATGTAGGGACCTTGAGCTTTTCATCTTGGCTGACATTCCAGTGCAGCACTGGAGAGCACTGTATTGTGGGACTGGCCGTCTTTCTGACGAGGTCTTGTCTGCTTGTTCAGGTGAACAGTAAAGATCCCAAAGGTATTCCAAAAGAAAAGGGAGTTTCTCCCACTGTCCTGGCCAATAATCCCCCAGATTTAATTCACTTCATGACGTCACTGTGTGCAAATTTGGCTGCTATTTTCAACTATAAATACACTACATTTTACAATAAATCTTGTGAAGCACTTTGGGATGCTTTGTTGACGTGATAAGGTACTATATCAAATGCAAGGATTAATATAGTTATATTACAGTAAGGGCAGTCAGGTTGGGCACTGACATAGGAAATAAACCCAGTAACAATGGTGGGGATATGACGGTATCAGTTGAATCCCAGAGTATTAATAATAATAATAATCCTTGCATTTGGTATAGCGCTTTTCACGTCTTCTCGACGTCTCAATGCGCTTTACAGAATATACTGCAAAGTGAATTGACTGTATATTTGTGGGCGAAACGCGGCAGCCAATTGCGCACAGCAGTGTCCCACAAACAGTTGTGGATTGAAAATGACCAATTTATTATTGTTTTGGAGGGATTATTATTAGGCGTGTGGAGTAAGGAAACTTGTCCAAGGTTTCGCCCCCTGCCTGGAATTGAACCCAGGTGTCTCGCTTGCAAGGCGAGCGCTCTAACCACTGAGCTACAGGACTCCACATTGCATCCAAATAGAAACCCATTCACCAAGGCTAAGTAGAAGACAGATTAAGCCAAGTTCTACAACTGCTTACATATGTGCACATAGATTAGACCAGCCTGTCACAGCCTACACCATGTCCTAGCCAGTCACTGCGCAATGGCCCTGGGGTCACTGAGGTGGCAGCTTGGAAACCCAGACTCACCTTGGCAGGTCCGCTCGTTGGTCAGCAGTTTGTAACCTTTCTTGCAGCTGCACTCAAAGCTCCCGACAGTGTTCCTGCAGACGTGGTCACAGCCTCCGTTGTTCAGACGGCATTCATCAATATCTGATACAATAAAACATTTTTACATGTATATACAGAGAGTGAGGACAATTACATCATCAGTTTCAAGACAACACAGTGAAGGACAGGAAAGTGGAATCAATGTGTCTTTCTATGCTAACCCTGTTCCAGTCATTAATTACCCTCTGGGTAAAGAAACATTTTCCGGTGTCCCAAAATTGCCCATTACACCTCTAAACCTGTGGCCTCTTGATCTACTGTCTTGCACTTGAAGTATTGATCTGGGTTTACTTTTTCAATTCCATTTAAAATGTTACACACGTCTGTGCGATGTCCCCTCAGTGGGCTTCTCTCAAGAGTAAAGAGCCCGAGCTTGTTGCTCAGCCTTAACTGCAGCCTCAGTCTATGAGCCGAGGCCTTTAATTCTGGGATTCAAACCGAATGGAAATGAGGGTTCCTTGCAGCAAACTGAAGCATGTCTGCCTGCTCCTCCAATGCCCCCCAGGCTCTACAGGACTTCCGAACACTTCCCAATTCCACTGAACATCTGCAGCAAGGTTTTGCCAGCTGCTGTGATCCCCAGAGGAGAAAACATCAACCGTCAAAGACTGGCCAACTCGCCTTGCTGGTTGCTCACCCCCACCAAAGAGAACTGGCGAGGCCTCAGTCATCGGCTGATTGATGTACATGTAAATGGCCGAGTTACAGCCTCTGAAAGCCCCTTGCAATCGTTTGCCATTTATTGCCAGTTTCTATTTCACTTGATGAATGGTTACACAGGGGAATGGGAGCTCCTGGGGATGGAAAAAACACATTCATATTCCTACACATGTGGCAGGATTCCTTTAGTGCCTTTCCCAATGCAAGAGCGATTCCACCACTGTTAAAATCATCTCCTTACAGAACAGCCACCTGCCGCAGAGTCTCAAACTGTAATCATTTCAGTCTTTGCTCTTCAGAATCATTATTCTGTTAAACTCTAAATTTCTGGCCTCTACCGTTAACCACTTCACCCATACAAGCTAAAATACTGCCACATGCAGTGAACTGGGGAGGACTGTGATCCTTGCTCCTCTGAATTGTATTCCCTGGTTCCCTTGATCATCGGCTATCATTTCTCACCCCTCATTATTATATAGACCTCGGTCAGGTCAACCCTCAATTCTTTCTGTTCCAAAGAAAATAGTCCCAGTTCCTCCGGTCTCTGCTCATAGATCAAACCAATCATCTCTGGTGTCGTCACAGTACATCTCCTCTCATCCTCCCTATGGCACTGACATGCTTGCTAAGGTGGAGTGACCCAAGTGGAATTTTACCCTGGGATTCCAGGAACTGTTTCAAAGCCTCCAATATGGAATCTTGACTCCTAACTTTACCTTCTGCCAATTCCTTGGGAAACTCTTTAACTATTGATTGACGGGCACTAAACAATAAGAACGGGTCTTGGGAACCAGCATAGTTGGTGTCTAGGACATCACTCTTTGTCCTGATGTGTGACCACTTGTTGATGTTGATACTCTCGGGACTTCACTCCCATTACTGGAGCTCCAGCTACAAGATCCTCATTCTCGCCTTCAAATCCCTGCATGGAGTCGCTCCACAGTGCCTCCACAACCTCCTTCAGGCCTTCCGTCCCAGCTGCTCCCTTTGTTCAGCCTGCCTCATGTCCCATCGGCGGTCATTCTGCTCGCGCTCTCTGGAACTCCTCTGCCTCACCTCATTCAAGATCCATCTCACTACCGGGTTCGGTCATCTTTGCCCCAACCCTCCCACCCCACCCTCCTTAGGATCCACCTTCAGCTCAGTTGCCCAGTCAGCTATATTAAGCACTTTGAGATTTCCTCCCACTGGAGCCTGGCACGAAGCAAAACAAGTTCTGTGTCCATGTAAAGCTGTATTATTTCACTGGCACGGTTTATTTTACAGTCAGTGTGGCCAGACATTAGAAAGGGAAAGGCAGCTCTCCCGACACCAGCTTCAAAGGAGTTTGTCAGACAGTGTTGCACTGTGATGTGCTAGCTCTCTGTAAGAGCTTTCCATTCAGTTCCACTACCCTGCCCTTTCTCCCTTACTTTTACAGTGTTCTTTTTCAAATATTTGTCTTATTTCCCTTTCATATCAAAGTTATTCTGGATCTTGCTTCAATCACTGGTTTTGGCTGGGCGTTCTGTGTCACAGTAACCCTCAACAACGGCTGAAATTAGAGTAAAGCGGGTGTTTCCTGGTGTCCTGGACAACACTCCTCCAGGCAAAACTGGTCATAATATTATTCCTTGCATTTGGTATAGTGCCTGATCATGTTGAAAGGACGTCTTATGAATCACAAAATTTACTGTGAAGTGGAGTGACTGTGTATTTGTAGGCAAATGTGGCAGCAACATTGTGCACAGAGATGTCCCACACACAGCCATGGAGCGAGTGACCAATTTTATTTGGGAGATTGTTGGCCATGACACTAGGAGTAAACCCCTTTGTTCACTTCATTGCTGTGCGCAGGACATTACAAACTGGGTTGCTGCATTTACCTACAAATACACAGTCACTACACGTGAATGCAATTCCCTATGTGGCGCTTTGAGATACTTTGGCATTATGCGCACTATAAAATGCAGAGGAAATTGATGAGCTTTTTACTCCGTTTTTCTAAAGTTTTAGCCAAAATCGAGTGCTGGGATGAATAACTGTGCAGGAGGAGTGAGCAAGGACTGACCTTTACATGTCTTCCTGTCCGGCTGCAGTGTGAAACCCACTGGGCAGCTACAGCGGACCCCCGTGACGGCGTCCTGACACGTGCTGTCACAGCCCCCGTTGTTCACCGCGCACGTCTCTGTGAGCGAAAGGAGAGAGTGGCACAAATCAACCCCCTGACAATAAACAGCGATGACCTTTGCCATTGATCCCACAGCATTCCCACCTCACCCCACCACGCCCCTCGAAGCAAAATAAGAGCAGCGAAGGTGAAGAGTGGCTACAGGCAGAGTCCAGTTTTAAGTCAAAATATGTTTTTTTTTAAAAAATAAAGTTTCCAAAAATCGGACTGGATTTAGAGAGGTTCCACAATCCCGGCAATCCAGAGTCCACACGGTGCTAATCAGCCTGTGTACAAAGCTTTTTATAGACAACCCAATCCAAAGTCTTGTGTTACATGATAACCCAACCCAATTAATATCCAACTCATACTGGTCCAACTAATATCCAGCCCCAGATACCCATAACATCAGCCTGGCTCAGTGTTAGTCAGAAGGTTGTGGGTTCAAATCCCATGACGGGACTTGAACTTACATGGTCTAAGCTGATACTCCAATGCAGTGCTGGGGGAGATTTGCATTATCGGAGGTGCCCTCCTTCAGATAAGATGTTAAACAGCGGTCCCATCTGCCTGTTTAGGTGGACATTAAAGATCCCCCGGCACTATTCGAAATGAGAAGGGAGTTTCTCATGGTGTCCTGGCCAACAATCCCCCAAATAGATTAGTCATTTGTTTCATGGCTGTTTGTGGGCATTGCTGTGTACAATTGTGACATGCTCCAAGGTGACGTTCTTGGCAACAGAATGTCGGAATCGAGTCTTTAGTCCGGTTCTTGAGCCAGGCTAAGCCACAGTATTCTAGGGCACTTCTGTTGACAGCACAGCCAGCCTGGCTCATCGACAGGATCTGGAAGGGTAGACCAGTCACTGAGGGCAGGGAGTCATCCACTCAGCTCCTATTAACCCTGCAAGCTAAAGTCCTAATGGTAGGGTGTTTCTAGTTGAACAAGCAGCGGGAAAGCTTGCCAGACAGCAATAATGGCAAGCTATGCGGCTTTAGCTGGTTAGACTCCAGCAGTTACCACAACGCACACTCTGGGGTCCCCAAGCCTTGGATCTTGCCAACCTGCGCCTAATATCTTCCGGAATAAGGTAAACAGGATGCATCCCTCCAGTGAGAGAGTGTGCATTCCATTCCAACAATCTATCTCTGGGATTTCCAAGTGAAAGTGGGATGCATGGAAATCTCAGCTTGGTTTGTATACTCTTAAGCATCGTGATGGGTTTCCGCATGTTTCAGATATCTGACTAACCAAAAAAAACCTCTCACTTTTCTCTGTCTCTATGCAGATCTGCTGTTAGCCTGACCTCTGTGTCTGTTTTGTCCCCCTTCCCACCCCGTCACAATTAAGCACTTTCCCTAGACAGGTTTTGACCTTCCCAATCCCGACTCGTTCTGTGAAGCTTGGATTCAATGTGTCAGCCAATCGTCTTTTTGATCCTTAATCTTATTCCATTCATGAGGCCTTGGCTTGGCGTGGCCGACCCGAGCAATGTCACTTGACACTGTTTGATTCGAGCAAAATAAACCAGTCTCAGTCACACATTGTTGTGAACGGAACTTCAGAGAGCGCCTGAGACAAAGCTCTTTCACAAACGCCTGCAGGCTTTTGTTTTCCCAGTTTTTGAGAGAGCAGCAGATATGACAGTATTCCAATTGTCTCGCAGTTTTTTACCCCAAATCTCTGGGTTGAAACGTTTTCCTTTGGGTTGGGGATAAGGGATGGTAAAAGGCTAACGCAATCATTTAAGGAAACTAAAAACCCTGGAGTTTCACAACAGGAAAGTTATTACTCATTGCAGATGATTCAAAGTGATTCATGATATGCAATGCCCAGAGCAAGTCTCACCAGCTGAACCTCCCCCTCCAGAGGACGCACACTCAGATCTGCATATGAATTATTTGAACAAACAGGGGAGCCGACACTCAAAATAGTTTGGGTGCCGTCACCCGTGACAGGATTTCAGTTCAGTGTTGACTCGCCACCACCGCATGAGCCAACAGGAGAGCCATCAAGTCAGCGTCTGTGACCCCAGAGGATCAGCCAGCAGCCAACACAAACACTAGCTAATGTGGGGCCAGCCATTAGAGGGGTCGCCTGAATCCGCCAAATGTACAAACGTGTTAATTCTTTCCAAACAAAAAACACCCTGGCCCGTGTTTTTACAGCTAACTAATTCTGTGAAATCTGTTGCAATTGCCCTTGAGCACATCGGCAGCTTTCAAACCCTCTCCGAGGTCTATCCATCTATTTCAACAATCCGAGGCATTACCCCAACATGAAGAGTGCTATGTAAATGCAACCTGTTGAGGTTGCTATTGTATCTGTATGTGTCAGTCTGGCTCAGCCGGTAGCACTCTCGCCTCTGAGTCACAAGGTTGTGGGTTCAAAGCCCAGGTCAGAGTCTTTGAGCTCAGTCTAGACTGACACTGTGGATGCGCTGCATTGTCTGAGATGCCATCCTTTGGATGAGACATTAAACCGAGGTTCCATCTGCCTCTTCAGGTGGACGTTAAAGATCCTGTGGCACTATTGGGAAAAGGAAGGCCAGCAATCACCTGGATAGGAAACGTGGTCATTCACTTCATGGCTATTTGTGTGACATTGACTGCTTTGCTCGCCTGTAAATACAGTCACTCCAATTCACAGCAAATCTTGTGAAGGGTTTGAGACACCCTCCTGAGGTGAAAGACGTGATATATAATAATAATCATTGTGTGTGATACACCGCCTTATCATGTCTTTGTGGAGTCCTGTAGCTCAGTGGTTAGAGCACTCGCTTTGCAAGTGAGAGACCCGAGTTCAATTCCAGGCAGAGGGCGAAACCTTGGGCAAGTTTCCTTACTCCACACAGAGCCTAATAATAATCCCTCCAAAACAAAAAACAATAAAATTGGTCATTTTCAATCTACGACTGTTTGTGGGACATTACTGTGCGCAATTGGCTGCTGCGTTCGCCCACAAATATACAGTCAATTCACTTTACAGTATATTCTGTGAAGCGCTTTGGGACGTCTAGAAGACTTGAAAAACGCTATATTAAATGCTATTATTATTATGTCGTTGAGACATCGCAGAATGTTTCACAGGATTTGACTGTGAAGTGACTGTGTTTATAGGCGACATCAAATGCAATGATTATTTTTCTTCTCAGTCCTATTTTGGAGACCAACTAGAGGGAGAAATTTCACCCTGGGTCTAGATTTACTCTATTTATGTAACATTTCAGAATGTCCAGAATGTCACAGATCGTAAAAGACAGCCTGGATTTTGAAGGAAGTTTTTTTTAAAAGTATCTTTTAAGAAATTATAGAAAATTTACTTACAAATTGAGACTGAATTTGCATCAATTTGCCAAATGGAGTAAATAGACCTAAGCAGATTTTCTCCCATCAGCTTAAAGTTCAAAGTGTGACAACCCGGCTCACTGTGTGTCAGCCCGGCTCAGTGTGTGTCAGCCCGGCTCAGTGTGTGTCAGCCCGGCTCAGTGTGTGTCAGCCCGGCTCAGTGTGTGACAGCCCGGCTCAGTGTGTGTCAGCCCGGCTCAGTGTGTGTCAGCCCGGCTCAGTGTGTGTCAGCCCGGCTCAATGTGGGTCAGCCCGGCTCACTTGGTAGTACTCTCGCCTCCGAGTCAGAAGGTTGCGGGTTCTAGTCGGGAATTGGCACCCAAATAGTCTAGACTGACACTCCAGTGCAGCTGCATTGTTAGAGGTGCCGTGCTTTGGATGACATGTTAAACCGAGGTCCCTTCTGCCTTGCCCAAGTGGATGTTAAAGATCCCATGGCACAATTCGAAAAGAGAAGGCAATTTTTCCCGGTGTCCTGGCTAACAATCCCCCCAGATACAATTGGTCACTCACCTATGGCTGATTGTGGGACACTGCTGCGTGCAAATTGGCCCCTGTGTTTGCGCACAATGTACAGAGTAACTCCACTTTACAGTGCATCCTGTGAAGTGCGTTGAGGTTTCTCGACAACGTGATTAGTTGCTGCATTAAATGCGAGGATTATTATAAGTTCCTCGGATTTTTCAACTGCAATATCCACTTACTGCCGGTCAGTCTCACTGTGGTCAGTCCCTCTGTGGTCAGTCACACTGTGGTCAGTCCCTCTGTGGTCAGTCACACTGTGGTCAGTCCCTCTGTGGTCATTCACACTGTGGTCAGTCACACTGTGGTCAGTCACTCTATGGTCAGTTACTGTGGTCAGTCACTCTCTGGTCAGTCACTCTCTGGTCAGTCACTCTGTGGTTGCAGTCAGTCACACTGTGGTCAGTCACACTGTGGTCAGTCAACTGTAGTCAGTCACGTCAGTCACTCTGTGGTCAGTCACTCCGTATGGTCGGTCAGTCACACTCCATCAGCTAAACAAGGAACTGTGGCACCTGGTGCCATCCGAATTCCTCACTGCAGCTCGTTTTTCTCTCCTACATTATTCATTTCCTTTAACAAAGCGTTTTTTTCTCCCCCCTCCCCTCGCCCCCGCCCACCCCCCTCCCCCCAACCCCGTTCAAGAGTGAATGAATTGGTGGGCCAGCCGCCCGGCCTGTCTGCGAGAGCAGCCTTTGAAAAGGCGCCACTTCAGCTTTCACTGCACTCTGCTCCTGGCAAATGCGAAGCCCCTGAGGTCAAGTCACCCTTTGATTTCTTTCTCAAAGTCATCTGACATGTGTGAGTCCACCCAAGCTTAGCCTTCAGACTGCTGTCTGCTCCACTGGCCATCTCCTGTTTCCCATTAAACATGGAAATGGTGTATGAAATTGTAAATCCAAGCTATTTCCTCAACTGATTACATCAAATTGCTCCGCTTGCAAGTTCCTTTCTTTCACCATGTTTTCTGGGATCTCCGAGTCACACTCAGGGCTTGGGAATCACTTACCCACACACGTTTTGCCATCTGAGTGAAGGGCGAACTTCACGTGACAACCACACTTGGGTCCCTGATCGGTGTCGTCACAAGTGTGCTGACATCCTCCATTTCCATAGTTACACGTCACTGAGGGAAGACAAGAAACTCCGCCAGGTAAATAAGAGCTTTAAAATAAACCTGGCTCCCCCCTCGCCTTCTCCCCTCCCCAGCCTCACAAACATGTCAAAAAAACATGTTTTGAGATGATTATCCTAACCACAGGTGTAGTGATGGATGGATTTTTCTAGCTGGGAAACCAAGATCCTGGCAATGGTTCATTTCTTCCCTTTGTTTTTTCTTCCCCTCAGAAATTGCTTCACGTTTACAAAAAAAAACCTGGGACTCAATCAAGGCCACATTTTCCGTCAATTAAAAAGGAAAAAAAACCGACAGATTGTACTGGGGTTAGGGCAGCTCCACACTGCTCACACCCAGCCCCCGCCTTTCTCAGACATGGCACGGCGGAGGTGCTTGCGAGGGAGGGAATTCAGCACCAAAAGGTCAATGAGGTGCCCTGATCAGACGACAAGAGGCTGGATCTGGTTCCTAGTTCAGTGCGGGCTTTAGCATCTGGGTAATAACTTCTTTAATCAGAACAAAATGATCAAATCATTGTTGGGTCCTCACCATTCAATGTGCTTCTCATTCCACCCCACTCCCTCCCTCCCTCACCCCCATTCCACGCCCACATGTGTCAACCTGACTTTTGTCTCTGAGCAGATGCGTGTGAGTTCGAGCCCCAAGTCAGGACTTGGAACTCATACTGTCTAAGTTGACACTCCAACGCAGGGCTAGCTCTATGATGCATTGTTGGAGGTGCCGTCCTTCAGATGAGATGTTAAACCAAGGTCTCGTCTGCCTGTACCGGTGGATATTAAAGTCCAATGACGCTATTCGAAAAGAGAAGGGAGTTTCTCTCCATGTTCTGGCCAACAATCCCAGAGATAAAATTGGTCACTCACTCCATAGCTGTTTGTAGGACATTGCTGCCACATATGCCCACTAAACAGATAATCACTACACTTTACAATATGTCTAATATGAAAGCTTTGGACATTCTTGTGACATGAAAGGTGCTGTACAAAATGCAAGGATTATATGAATATTATTATTTACTATATGTAGGACAACACTGAGAGAGATAAAACCAATAGGTTTAGATTGTGTGGAGGCGTAGTGGGCAGAGTAACAATAATCGTTACATTTCAGGGTCCGAGATGTTATCCTATGTGAATGATGCCTCATAAATGCAAATTGTTATATTGTGCGTGGATTCTGCCAGGAGCGGACTGGATGGGACTCTGGAGCTCTCTGTATATCCATGTGCCTAACATACCTGGCACTGCCATCACCCTCCAAGGAATTAGTAACTTATTCACATACCTTACAGCAACAACAACTTGCATTAGACTGCGCCTCCATGTGAGGTAGCGTCTTGGAGTGTTGGCTGTTCAGCTAACAGGAGCAGAAACACATGGCATGGGGTGGAGGGGGGGGGGGGGGGGGGGGGGGGATTTGGTCCCTCAGCGCTTGGTGTGTTTTCCTGCCACCCCTCCCCCCCCAGTCTGCTGAGACCTGGGGGAATCATAGCTTGCCAGGGACTACAATACCGACCGTAACACGGGATGGCGGGGGGTCAGAGGGCATTCTGGTACAACTTGAAAACTGTCATGAATTAATTTTGGGAGAAAAAAAACTCATTTCCCATCAAAGTGCAACGACTGCCAGTCATTAAGAAGTTTTGGGTGTATTTTACATTTTTTTTTGACCACAGAGGTCAAGGCATTACCTCTGTAAATATCCAGAAGCAAATCCATTCCCTTTGGACAATACTCCGAAAGCAGCAGACAGCCAAGGCACAGAGCTATTAATCTCAATAACGGCAGTGTCCCAGTGGCCATCTCTGACGTTCCTGGTAGACTTTACTGCTTTTCCCAACAATTTTAACCCAAAGAATCAACAGTGAGGAGATTTCTATATAATATATATAACATAGAAGTGCTTTGGGACATCCTCCCAAGCTAGATCAATGTCAATTTGTATTGGAATGTATATTTGGTGAGTTGCATTGTCTATCCAGATAAGGTTTGTAGCGCTGGGCAATGGGACAACTGTTTTAGACACTCAGTGTCATCCTGTGAACATAGGAAAATAGGCACAATGGGAGGCCATTCAGCCATTTAAGCCTGTTCCAGTTTATAAGATCGTGGCAGACCTTTTAATCCCAACTTCCTGTCCTTTCACCACATCCTTTAATACCTCACCGCTCAAATATCCGTCTATCTCTCAGAGTGAGATTCCAATCTAGCGCAGTTGTTCCCTTTTACACTCGAGTTTAAACATGGTAAACACGTGGTCGCAGAAGCTGCACATTAGACCCGAGGTCTACAAATTGAGACTTACACTTGCAATCCCGTTGGTTCTTGGTGAGCTCAAAGCCAGGTCGACACTCACAGGCAATCCCTCCCTTGGGAGTCTCCCGACAGATGTGGGCACAGCCATGGTTTTTGTTCATACAGTTCATTCCTTCTGTAAAAAATCAGTAATGAGAGATAATGTATTACACATCACGGTTCCAATATCACCGCAGTCAATTTCACTTTGAGTTAACAATTGGCTTGATCCATCTATCAGTCAAGGCAATGGACGTGAACCTGTTCAAAATATAAATCAATATCATGAAGAGAATTAATGTATTAGAGGGCTATACCTTGGCAACCAATAGTCTTTAAGAAACTTCCTGTGACACTATTCAAAAAGAGAAGGGAGTTTCTCTCTCCTGGTGTCCTGGCCAACAAACCTCCAAATAAAATTGGTCACTCACTTCAAAGCTGTTTGTGGGGCAATGTTATGAGCAAATTGGCTGCTGTGTTTGCCCACAAAATACACAGTCACTTTACAGAAGTTCCTTGAGAGGTGGGATTACTATTATTGAACTTTTTACAGTGCCCTCCCACATTGAAATGTCTCAAACCACTTCACAACTGCAGCCAATGCAGTGATTGTTTTTCATTGGAAGATGAATTAAAGCGTACTCGAACAGGCAGATAATTTAATGTCTCATTGGAAGGCTGGCACCTGTGATGATAAGAAGTGCTCCCCTGGCACTCCACTGGAGCATCAGACTAGACTCATCCCTGATTTTAGTAATGATAGTTATAAGGACAACTGGACATTGCAGCAAATTGGGTTCATGAATACATATTTATTATCTGTTTTATTATCCGTATTTAAGTCCCACCTCAAATCCTACCTCTTTGAAAGTGCTATGGCCCTCTCCCCACTCCCCCTTGCTGTGTCCAACTCCGTCTCTGTAAAGAGCTCTGAGCCATTACCTTATGTGAGTGTCAATGTAAGATGTTGTTGTTGTATTACCTGCCACAATTCTCCAAAGCTTTACAAGCTCAGAGCACAAGTCACCCTCAGTGTTCTCATTGCACTGAAAATGCACTGTAGAAATCAGAAGCAATGGGATCTCCCCAATGGCAGTGAGCGTGGACTGAAGAAAGGCAGTTTTTTTTAACGATTCCAACATGGTCCTGACACTTGGCAAAGTTTTAGTCAGAATAACTTATTCAAATTCATCTTTCATTTTGCAAATGATTCCATCGCAAAAGCCAATGGCAGCACAACAAGGGCTTTTTATCTGAAACCCTCTCGTGATCACTGCACATCTACGCATTTGGGCAAAGTTACCGGGGACTGACTGCTAGTTATTATGCACTTGAGCTAAATTACTTCTTCAGTCACGCCTGCACACAACTAGATTTGTTATGCCCGTAGCGTGAAGGTAAATGTTTATATTTTTGAACAGTGTAGGGGTCAGAGTCAGAGCCAGATCTATGGAGGTGGAGACAGTCAGAGATAGAGTACAGAGTCAGAGCTGGAGCAAGTCGTAGAGACAGCGAGATAGAATAATAATAATAATCCTTGCATTTCATATAACGCCTTATCACGTCTTTGAGACGTCTTAAAGCGCTTCATAGAATATACTGTAAAGTGAACTGACTGTATATTTGTGGGAGAAACATGGCAGCCAATTATGCACAACAACAACAACTTGCACTGATATAGTGCCCTCTCCGCAGGGTAGCATGTTCGAGCACTTAACAGTGGCGGAGGGATTGGGGAGATGGCCGTAAGCACGGTCCAACAGGAAAGTTTTCACGCGGGACTTGAAAGAGGGGAGAGAGGGGGCAAGGCGGAGGGATTGAGGGAGAGTGTTCCAGCGTTTTGGGGCGTAGTGGCTGAAAGCACGACTTCTGATGGTGGTGTGGAGGGTGCAAGGGACAAGCAAGAGGCTGGTGCCAGTCGAGTGGAGGCACTGGGTGCTGGAGTGGGGAGTGAGGAGGTCGGAGAGGTAGGGAGGTGACAAGGAGTGAAGGGATTTGAACACGAGGGTGAGGATTTTGAAGTTGATCTGTTCAGTGAAGGGGAGCCAGTGGAGCCGGCCAGAACTGGTGAGATGTGGCTACGGAGTTTGGTTCGGGTCAGTATGCGGGCAGCAGAGTTTTGAATGAGCTGGATCTTGTGAATGATGGAGCTGGGGAGACCGGCGATGGAGTAATCCAAGCGGGAGATGACAATCGCATGCACAAAGCTTTCGGCTACATTTGGGGTAAGGTACGGTTGGAGGCGAGCAATGTGGCGGAGGTGGAAGAAAGCGGTCCTGGTCAGGGACCAGATGTGGGGGAGGAAGGACAGTTGGGGGTCGAAATGGACACCTAGGTTGCGCACTGGCTCAGTGAGTCTGAGGGAGAAGTCCAGGGAGGTTGAGGATTTAGATCCGCAGGAGTGAAGACTTTGACGGGAGCCCAGGAGCATGGCTTCCGTCTTGACGATATTCAGCTGCAGGAAGTTTACACTCATCCAGGCCTTGATGTCTGCCAGACAAGCTGATAGAACACTGGGAACCGGGAGTTGGTACTGGAGGAGGCAAAATAGATTTATGTGTCATCCGCTTACATGTGGAAGTTTACCCCGTGTTTGTGGATGACATCGACCAGAGGGAGCATATAAATAAGGAAAAGAAGAGGGCTAAGGATGGAGCCGTGGGGTACCCCGCAGGTGACCAGGTGGGGGAGAGAGGACAAACCATTTGCTGAGATGAAATGGAGGTGGTTGGTTAAGTAGGACTCGAACCATGTGAGTGCGGTCCCACTAAGGTCCGCACAACAGTGTCCCACAAACAGTCGTGGATTGAAGTGACCAATTTTATTATTGTTTTTTCTTTTTTTCTTCAGGGATTATTATCAGGTATGTGGAATAAGGAAACTTGCCCAAGGTTTCACCCTGACGGAAATTAAACCCAGGTGTCTCGCTTGCAAGGCGAGCGCTCGAACCACTGACCTACAGGACTCTTAGAAAGTTAAGCCCAGAGAGTGGGTTCAAACCAGTGCTCTTCAGTGGGTACACCAGCAACACAATGAGAACAGTCAGGGTGTGCTCAATGTTCAGGGGAGCCTCGGAAACGTTACCAAGTTTAGATTCTCTCAGTCCTCACCAAATGGAGATTGTGCACCTCACACAGATGAAGTTGGCCAAAATTAGTGTGATTTCAACACCACATCATAACAGAGGATGGAATGAAGAAGGGCCCTCCACCTGTTTGATCTCATCTTTCATAATAATAATCATATAATAATCCTTGATTTTGATACAAAACCTTGTATCAAGACGCCTCAAAGTGCTTCATGAGATTTAATGTAAAATGTAGTGACTGTCTATTTTGAAGACGAAGACAGCAGCCAATTTGTGCCCAACATATGATCTCCCACAAACACATGATGTAAATGATCAATTTTATCTGGGGGATAAAATTCTGGTTAAGACACTGGGAGAAACTTATGTCTCTTTTTGAAAAACGCTATGAGGATCTTTAACGTCCTCCTGGACAGACAGATGGGACCCCAATTTATTGTCTCATCTGAAGGATGGCACCTCCCACAACGCAGAGCTCCCCGGCACTACAATAGAGCCTAGACTATGAGTACCCAGAAATGGTTATCATTCAGCTTAAACCGTTACTTAAATCAGTCCAGTGTCCTGACCTCATATGTGAATGGTAACCCTGTTCCAATCATTAAATTATTCTCGGTGTTCAGAAATACTTCCTGGTGTCAATCCTAAACTGGACCCTCTCTGCCCTGAACCTGTGGCCTCTTGTCCTGCTCCTTCCATGCATCTGAGATCTTGTTTACAATCACATTTGAGTGTCTTACTGACCTCTGGAAAACACTCAAGGAGACTCTTGCTTTCAGGGCTGAAGAAGCCATGGATTAACTCAATGCTCCTCAGAGAAGATCACTGAACACATGGTGTGTAATGTTGAGGAACGAGCATCCAAATAACAATAGAGTAAACCTCACATAAGTGGTATCAGTTGGGACCATACATTTAATATGACTTATGCAAAGTATGCGTTATGTGAAATAAATAAGAAGAAATTCAATGGGATTTCAGAAGATTCAGGTGATTATACGATTTATACAGATCAGAGTTATGCGCGTTTTACTGTAATAATAAATCCAAATGTTGGGAGTAGAGGATAGTGATTGGCTGCCTTGTACTTTCACTTGCTCTCAGTTCCCCCATTGCTTTAGGTCTGCCTTCTTCTGTGTTGTAAATTTCTATGGTTCTAGCTTTGGCCAGGGTAATCCGAGATTTCACTCTATCTTTACATTTCTCCTTTTCTGAAATGTAGAAAACGATGAATGAGGCAGATGATTGCGGTCCATTCTGCCACTCACTGTTTTCAGTAACTTTCCCTCTCTCTCCCCCCCCCCCCCCCCAGACACAGCGAGTCACCGTGCTATTGCCCGAGGATATTTCACACACTCTGCTGTTGCCTTTGCACTCCCCGGTGCTCAGTCAGCTTCATGCCCGATAACATCAGCAAATTCCTGCTGGTGCATGGAGCCTGGCCTGGGAGCCCAGCAGCTTTAGAAGCTAAGCTGGCGGGAGTTTGAGGGTATCTGGGGTCAGAGACCTAGTGAGCTGCAGCAGGAACCTTTCCACAGGGCAGATCATCCAACAGCCAACAATGGAATCCTGTGTTAATCTCTCTGCCCTGCACTGGGGATAGAAACCTCTCTTGACTCTGCGCTAGGTGTAGAAACATTGATGTATTTGTTTGTAAGAAAGCTATTTGGGGAATAGTGTTTGATTTGTATTGATGGAATTGTGAGCTCCTCAGCCACCTCTTTGCTGCTGTGTATTCTGACCTGGGACCGACTGCTTTGGTCGTTGCTGTTTAACTTTCCAAGGAGTTTCTGGACTGTTTTGTTAATGATTCATTTCATTAATCATTCCTGTCTGGCTTGATTTATAAAGTCATTATGGAAATATATTGGAAAAGATTCAAATTTGTGACATATTTATGATATCATACCTATGGCGAGGGAAGGGTGGAGGGGGGGAAGACAATGGAGAGAGAATACGCTACGTAATGAAAATGACAACAACAACAGCAACACAATTGTAATTACATTGCCAGTACCGCTATTTACTGCCATTCTTCGTTGCTGGCT